CAAAACCAATGTTAACTACTTGTTACAACAGTGGGTGAAAGTGGGTGTGGGTTACAAAAGTAGGCGAAGTTACCATCCTAGCTGAAAAGGAGTGAAGACAATGTGATCAGTTATGTTGCTGCGACTGCTAAAACTTGCAATGTGTGGTCCATTGTACAGTAGAAATGGTACTACAATTAGTCTTGGGCCAACAAACTGCCTAGTGGTTTTCATAAACAGGCTAGATGAGAGGATGGAGGATGTTATTAAATCTCCAATGACAGCAATTTCAGAGATATTCCTATAAGTCAGCCATCATACACTATTAATTGGAAAACCTTATGAGCTACCGTAGATTTGGGAGCCATAGGCACAAGAAACAGGGATGCAATGCGCTGAATATTCTCAGTAATACCAAGTGTACTAATTAATAACATAATATAATGGAAAGTTTAATAGTGCAAACTGGTTGCGCTGGGAAGATTTGTTACATGGGTTATAAATCTTCTATCTGTTTTATAATGTAAATTTCTTTGGGATGCCTCGTATGAAACAATTCATAAATTAACTTTAAAAAATGATAATCTTTAAAGCAAAAGCAAAACAGGCAGATGCTTAAAAGGCCTAAGTTGAGGTGTTTTTCTTAAAGACACAAACCAGTTCAATTTGTTTCTTTTCCATTAGTACTGGGGCTCTGAATATATCTGGATTGACTAGTATATATGGGATCCCATTTTCAACCTACGTTTGTAGAAGGGAAGCAACACCTGTGTAGTAAAGTACATATGTATATATATTTTAATCAGAAAGCGCCTAGAGCAAATGGTTTCAACATCTGTAAACCCTTCTCACATCTTGGGCTATGTATTTATTTACTATTATTATTTTGAAATATGGTTGGTTCTGCCATAAGTTCAGTCAGAGTTCATAAGGGCTTGATGTGCCTTTGGTAGAATTCTTTAGGGATAAAGTAGTTTTATTCTCATATCCGAAATTCCTGAACAAATTGGCATCTGAATTTGATCTAAGTGACTGCATCAACCTGCTTACATCTTCTCTTAGAACAAATATTTTAAAAAATAACAATCTAAAATCTTAATTCACATATTTACCTAGAAACAGCCGTGACACTAACATCTGGAGTATTTGTAGCACATGTAGAATAATCCAGGAAGGTGAGTATATTTAAGAGGTTTAATGTCAGCGGATAAACTTTGGTGACTTAGCACCTGTCAGACTCTGGATGCAACCCCATTCTTGAGATATGCTGGCTGCAGGATGGGATGGGGGTATTACTATACAGCAGTCCCAGATGTGCACAGTCCACCAGTAAAGATCTATAAGCATAATTTTGCAGATACATCAGCACAAGTCCACATTGGCATATTTGTATTGCTGATACAACTTCACCAGTGAAGGGACGACCCAAGCTACGTGGAAATGGGACTATGATAGGAAGTTGTCAGGTCCTGTGCTTCCTCAGATCCTACCTCCAACACTGGCAAGTTATGGAGTAAGTCAAACTCCACTGACTGAACTCAGTGGAGAGCAAAAACCACCATCTTCCAATTTACCCACTTTGCCACAATGAAGTAGAGAATCCAGACTAATTTGGCACCCTGTCATAGCATGCCAACACTAGTAAATAAATTATTGACAAGGAAACCATAACTCAGAAGACAGGGTGCAAGTATTGTGAACCCTTAGAACACACAATGGATCAATTTGGTGGCAGGAACTATGGAGACAGTACATTTTGTGTTACAAAGGGAACTTTTTGTTCAACTAGGCCACAGAACACAAATAGGAAGACTTTACAATATGATTGATACTTCCTTTTCAGTTGAGAATAAACAATCCATGTTTTATCCTCATGTACATCTTATGTAAGAATTATGTTTATGAACTGGATGCAATGAGAGGTTGCAGGCACAGCTGCTCATAAACCCTGATAAATACTTAATTTAGCATGACACTAAAGGGAAAGGAAATAATTTTTATCTGTTCATTAGTCATCCAGCTACTGGGCTAGCCCTGCATAAATTATACAGACCACATTTCAATTTCAATGTGGCTTATATTTTACTGCTTCCTTCTCACTTAGTTAAACTGGGAGGTGTGCGGCTGATAAGGTTTTTATGTACTCCTGCATTACCTTTTTCTTTCTTAACATCTCAAGATGTTGCAAAGCACAAGATGTTGCTGGCAATAACATTCAGAGTGAGCCTTGAGCTCAACAAATTTCACAGATCCACATGGTGCAATTTCTAGCTGTTGCCAAAAGGAAACGAATGCATTTGATTTGCAAATTTGAAAAGCTGTGTTTGTGTCAGCCTCACAGTTTCCACAGCACCAGCCTTAAACTGATAGCACATGTTGCAAAGGGAAGATTTATGGAACCCACCTAGTGAGCCCTGATCCTTCCTCTCATCTAGTACTACACGTGTATATCATAGAAGCATCCAGTTAACATCAGAAAAACTCATGAAATGAGAAAGAATAATCAGTTTTTCAGCCTATTTTACATTAAACCAAAGAAAAAAGATATCCTTCTGCTCCTTCTCACCTGTAAAACCAGTGGTGCCTTTTCCCCAGTGCACAGAAGCTGCATGCATAGAAAAAGATATAAAGAATTAAGACCATGCATATACATGCATGCACAGGTATGTATACATTCTGCACATACTTGTTCTACTGACCCTGTCACAACTTCCAAGGAACCAGTGCCATCAAGAAGATCACAGAATGCAACCTTCAAGATGACTTTAAAAGATAAAGGGCAGAGGGACCCCTGACCATTAGGTCCAGTCGTGGCCAACTCTGGGGTTGCGACGCTCATCTCGCTTTATTGGCCAAGGAAGCCAGCGTACAGCCTCCGGGTCATGTGGCCAGCATGACTAAGCCGCTTCTGGCGAAGCAGAGCAGTGCACAGAAAGGCTGTTTACCTTCCCACAGGAGCGGTACCTATTTATGTACTAGCACTTTGATGTGCTTTCAAACTGCTAGGTTGGCAGGAGCAGGGACCAAGCAACGGGAGCTCACCACGTCGCGAAAATTCGAACCGCCGACCATCTGATTGGCAAGTCCTAGGTTCTGTGGTTTAACCCACAGAACCACCCGCATCCCTAAGATGACTTTAGGACATGTTAATAACATATACAAAACAGAGTGTATTTTGGAAGGTTGTTTTTCTGTTTGCAGTGGATGTGGACATGTCTTTAAATATCTTAACCAAATTTTGAGGATGATGGTTCCTAAGATCAAGGAACAGGTTTTCATTGATGGTGGGCTGAACCATTAAAAACTGCAATTAGGCTGCTAGCTAATTGAAGTAACCCATGCACTGCTTCCATGGAGCCAGTTTCTGGGTGCTTCAGTCCATGCTAGGCCCCTTTCATCTCACAGGGATAAAGAAAGGCTATAAAATATGTACAAAAACATTATTTACTTATTTGAAAATTATGGATCTCCTATTGTTGATCTCCAAGGCAATGAAAAATTACAATGAACAAAGAAAAAAGAAAAAACACCCTAGTAGTGTTAAAAACAACATCCATTGGGGATGCAAAACCATATGGAGCAAATCAAATAAATAGGATAGACTTGGCCTAGTGCCTAAAGAATAGCTGGAGAGGCAGTAGGTGGGTCTCCTTTGGGAAGGAGATCCATTATTATTATTATTATTATTATTAGGGAGCACAGAAAGACAGACACAACCCCAGACTTTTTCCTCTCTCTAGTAGCTGTCCACCAAATCTCTGCAGGTGAGGGCTTCCAGGAGAGGACATTTACCGGTAATTTATTAATTTGTTTAACAAAATTTATACACTACTTGATTGTAATAAAACCTCTAAGCAGGTTTACAGGAAATATTAAAATCACATTACAGTGGTACCTCGGGTTAAGTACTTAAGTCATTCCAGAGGTCCGTACTTAACCTGAAACTGTTCTTAACCTGAAGCACCACTTTAGCTAATGGGGCCTCCTGCTGCCGCCGTGCCGCCAGAGCCCAATTTCTGTTCTTATCCTGAAACAAGGTTCTTAACCTGAAGCACTATTTCTGGGTTAGCGGCGTCTGTAACCTGAAGCGTATGTAACCTGAAGCGTATGTACCACTGTACATACTGTTAATAGGTACCACTGTATTACTGTTAATATTAAAATTAACAGTAAAGACACCTCAAGAACTACACGTCGAGATCCGATAGGCCTGCCTCAGCAAAAATGTTCTTAGCAGGTGCCAAAAAAATAAAAATGAGTATGGAGAAGGCGCCTGCCTGATGCCAACCGGCAGGGAGTTGCAAAGTGTAGCTGCTGCCACATGAAAAGATCTTGCAAATGCTGAAGGAGTATTATGCGGCACCTGTAACCGTGCCAGTTCTGCAGAGCGGCCAAGTGGGCTACCTCACACTATACTGAATTAATTGAAAGCACAGGAGGTCTGCAGGCATTGCAGAGTTAGACCAGTCCAAGAGGGTCATCTAATCCAACCCCTTGCAATGCACAAATCTTTTGAGGCGGTGGTGGGGGGTCCTTCTATTCTTGAGTCCTTTAGAAGGGCCCCTGGGGCCACGGACTGGCTATTCCCTCAAGTTTCCTCACTCGCCTCTTTCCTGTCCCTCCTCACCGCGGCTGCTGCTATTGTCGCTGCCGGACCTTCCTCTCAGCCAACGGTGGCTGCTGCTTATGTGCCCACCCCCCAAACCCCGCCACTCTCTTTCTCTGCTCCCTCAGGCAGTTCGGCCCAGCGCGCGCGAGCGCGCCGACCAGTCAGCCAGCCGGCCCGCCAGTCGCCTCGTCCGTGCGCGCGCGCCTTCCCCGCGCGCTCGCGCCCCGTGACCGTCCGCTTCCCCTCTGTCCCCCGGCGCGCGCGCACGGCCACACACGCACGCACACGCTCTCTCGCTCTTCTCCCCGCTAGTCCCTCTTTTCGGTGACGTGAAGGGGCGCGCGGTGGCAGCACCTCCCCGCGCGCTGCTTAAAAATAAGAAGAAAAGAGGGAGCGAAACATGAGAGCCCTAGTGAGCTCCAGCTCCCGCCGGCAGCAGCAGAGGAGGCATCACCCCAGCCAGGCTGTCCTCGCTGAATTGCGGCCGCCTTTCTATCGAACGACCAGAAGGGACTTGCTGCTGCTGCTGCCGCCACCGCCACGACCACCTCCTCCTCGTCTTCTCTTTCGCGCGCCAACGCGGGAGCCCTTCGCGCCGGCAATTTCGACGCCTCAGCCGCGCCAACTAAACCGGCCCTCGCGCAAACTTCCCCGCGCAAACTGCGCGGCACCTTTCACTCGCCGCCCCCCTTTACACCACACGCGACGTGCGCTCTCCTCCCCTCTTTTTTTGGTCCCTCAGACATCACTCGCTCCCTCCTTGGAGGCCTCCCCCCCCCCATCCTCTCTGTCTCTTCCCCCCTCTCCACCCCCGGATCTAAGGGGTTTCCCCCCACACACACCACACGGAAAGCTCTCGCTCTTGGATTTGCCTTGGGATTTGCCAGGGAAGCTCGCGGAGGCATGGTCGCTCTGAAGATGCTCCCGCTCAAGCTGCTCTTGGTGGCCGTGGTCCTCTGCTTCTTCGAGGGGGAGGCCCGCTTTGGGGAGAGCGGGGGGGCCAAGAGGAGAAGGTGCCTGAACGGCAGCCCCCCCAGGCGCCTCAAGAAGCGAGACAGGAGGCTGATGCTGCTGGAGCCGCCCCTCGGAGGGGAACTCATGTGCCGGGGTTTCTACCCTCGCCTCTCCTGCTGCCCCAGGGCGGACAGCCAGGGCTCGCTGCACGTGGAGAACAAGGTAAAGCGCGCGGCGGCGGCGGGTGGGAGGGCTGCACACTCCGGGGCTCACCTGAGCAGCAGCAGCAGGAGGAGGAGGATTTTTTTTTGGGGGGGGTCCTCCTCGTGATCTGGGAGGGTGGAAGGAGACTCCTGGGGGAGAACCAAGGAGAGGTGGACCTGTATCTGTCTGTCTCTCTCCTCTTCAGCAGGCTTGCAAAGGTGGTGAGAAGGCCAGCAGCTCTGGGGAGGTGTCAAAGGTGGCCTGAGCTTGGGTGCTTCAAGCAGTAGAGGAGAAAGGTGAGGGTGGGGGATAGGTAGACGTCTTCACCTGGACTGATTTCTGTTGGCCAAGGAGCCCATGAAACTCTGGAGTGGCTCAGATCTTCTTCATCAACCCCCATGTTATCCCAAACTCAGGCTTAGCAAAGGAGAGAGGGCTGCAATCCCAAACGGACTTTTGCCCGGGAATAAACTCCGTTGAACTTTCTTGCAAGTGAACTTCCATTGGCTCGCACTGTAAACCCCATTAAGTATAGTTTGACTTAGTTTTGAGCATAAACGTGTAAGAAAGATAGCGCTGTTGTTCCTCTTGGATACTGGCACCTTTGATACTGTTGTGCCCTTGTTTCCTTTCCCTCTCTTCTAGGATGGGGTGCTAATTTCAGGAACACGGTGTGTGGGTGTGTGGGTGTGTTGGTTCCTGCAGGTTTCTGTTGTCCCTCAAGCACAACAGTCCTTGGAAAACTTGTTACGAGGTTTTGGTTGGTAACTGATGCTGGGTCTTCAGAGATTGGCGATGTCAAAATCTGGACGCGGGGCAGATAATTAGTTTGTACAAAAAAACCCCCAAACCTTGACCGCAGGTTAACAATCTAGGATAACAATTTATTGGGGGGGGGGTAAAATTGTGAAATTTTGTGTACTACTGTATAGTGAAGGGATGCTGCAGCCCCTGGAAGCCCCAATTGTCAAGTGGTCCCATCTAGAAGAGAGCAGAAAGAAGCTGAGTTAGAAAACAGGTAGACTTTCATCCCGGTCTGGATGAGACATGGGACGGGAGGGGGGGGGCAGAGATGCTGCCAATAAAGTCTGGAGGGTTTTCTTGGAGTCAGTCAACGCTCCCTGGCAGCCGTGGGACTGTAAATTAAGGTGGCGGTGGTTTCCCCGTTTATTTTTTCTGAGGGTAGAAAAGTGTGTACGATTCTCTCCACATGTTTGGTCAGGAAACTTCGGGTAGCAGATGGTGATTGGGAGAGCAGATGATGCCAGGACGCTGCAAACTTTTTACGAGCTCTTCCACCGATTAGGTCGGTCCCTTGCTCTGGAGAGAGAAAAGGGGAGGGGGGGAGAGAGAGGATTCCCTGAAGTTGTTCCTCGACAAACTGGAGGGGTTGCAAATGGATCTTTCTCAAACGGGATAAAAGGAGGGTATCTACTGGATTGTGTGTGTGGAAAGAGAGAGAGAGAGAGAGAGAGAGAGAGAGAGAGAGAATTTGCTTTTTTGCAGCGTGACAGTTTTAACGTCATTAGACTTGATGGCATTCTGAGGATAAATGAAAAATCCTAGGCATCCTGGAATAAGAAGGGCGCCTGTTCAGGGGTCTGCTGTTCTTCTGCGTTCCAGCGTGTTGGTGTTCTCTAAGTTTTTCAGGCTATTGTTTCCATCAGAAGGGCAATGTGTAATGCTGGATCTAGGGAGGGAAACGTGATGAATAAATGTCATTGAGAATCACTGCACGTGAAATAAACAATCAGGTGTCTTTCTCACTGCCCCCTCTTTCCCCCTGCTCCCCCTTCCAGCTTTTAGGTTTAATTAAGAATTCCTCCGTTACAACACTGCAGTTGTCAAGGTCTGAGAGCGTCTTGGAAAACTTGTGTTTCAGTCTTTCTGGCCCAAGCATAATAAAAAAAAAAATACCCAGCCTGAATCGAATTTTTATGCTCAGTTCACGGTAGATTTCACTCCATTCTCATGTAAACAGCTTCTACGAATCAACATATGTGTCTGGGTGGTATCTCTCACTTTGTTTTGTAACAAAAAGCCATATTGCATCATTTAATTTGCTCAAGTCATGCAAATAGGGAAAAAATCAATAGGACAAAAAGGGGTCGACTTATCCTCCTCCCCACTAAACTGCTGCCCACACACAGAGTCCTGTTGCTTATGGCAAAAGAATAACAACAACACCATTGTATTTGTTGGTTGGTTCGCTAATGGGTGAAACTGGAGAACATCATTCTCCTTCAGTCCCCAGCTCTGTCCAAATGCTCATGCCTTTTGATAGAGCATTTGTCCTATCGCCTCTGTTCCCAGATGAGCGAGAGCTGTCTTTGCTGCAGGGATTTCAGCAAAGGAAACTCTATTCTTACCAGATGCAGCAGGAGTTTGGTTGAATATTTTCTCCGCATGTTTGGCCAGAGGTAGTGTCAGCAAAGCTCCTGTGTGGTAATCACATTAAACTACACACTAACTACATTCAGATAACCTCCTAAAGTCTCTAACTGAAACCCACAAATGCCAGAGTCAAGCGTGGAGGGGGGGTGTCCTTAATTTATCCTGTTAGTAACATATAGAAATGAGCAGCAGCATCTGCTGGATGGACTCTCTGAAATCTCCCTGTAATAAATAAGCTCTCTGTGGTGGATTAAAGGTGAGACAGACTTTACACAATACTTGCATTTCTACCCATTTACAGAACTTGATTTCTTAGCACTCTTTCTTTTGTGGCTGGTGACATCTAAAAACACTTTTAACTGGAAGGACATGATTTAATGTATATCTCAACCCATCATTTCAGGCTATGTCATATCCATATATATCATATCATTCATTTAAACAAAACTTGGCAATAAACATTTTTGCACGTCTGTGTACCAGATGGACAAAAATATGCATTTTTTCCATTTTCATGTGCAATGCAATCCTATTCATGCTTACTCAGAATCAAGTCCCATTGATTTCAATGGAATTTACTCTCAGGTAAGTGTGCTTTGGAAAGTTTGCCACTTCTGATTCATGTGACACATAATGGATGACTTTCCAAGCAAAATGTGTCTAGTGCATTTAGTGATAGCAGACTCTGAACAGGGTGCTCTGGAAATGCTCCAGGAAGTACGTCCCTATGGCTGTGCTGTGACACTGCACTTATGATATACCCACCCACAGACAAGGGTAAGGGTGATAAGAAATAAGTGTTTCAGCAGTTTTTAAAAGTAATGAAGCACACTCAGCAGTCATTTCTAATTACAAAAAGGCTCTTGGTTTAAGACTACATTTGTCAACCCTCTGGCAATTTAATGATCAAATTATTGATCTGTATTTCTAATGAAATGCTGCCAGCCTCTTAAGTAGTGCAAAGCTGCAACAGAAAATGAACAGACACATGAAATTACAGTCTCCCTTTATCATCTTTATTTTGTTTTGTTTTGTTTGCATGATGTCATTGACATTTTATCCCTACCTTCTGGTGCTCTGGATTATTCTCCATTTACCATTTGATTCTCTAAATTCATAAGCAAATAATGACATATTAAAGTTTTGTGCATTTTTTATTTTTTTTTAAGTTTTCTTACAGGCTGTCAAACACAGTGATCTTCTCTACCTTAGTTGGTTTCACAGCCAAGGCTGTCAGGGAATGGGTGAAAAGTAATTGTTTTCAAGTGTGCCCTTTTACAATCATTTGTTTGCTCTGGCTCTTTCTTCAACAAAAGCTATTGTTGAACACATCCAACTAAACAAATAACTCATCTTGGGGTCCCTGTAACAGCTGCCTTGGTACAATGATCTATTTACATATTGTCCTAAAATTGAAACTGAACTCCTTAATGACATAATCTAGTACTATAGTACCAAATGAAGCATATGCTGAAACTAGCAGCTGAACCATCTTGAAAGCATTCTGTTCGCAGGAATAATTACTTGTATACCAAATACTGCTTCATATTAACATCAGAACTGAATGCTATGATTTTTCTGCTGACTTGCCTCCTTGCACCCATGTGAAATGGTACAAGTTGTGTTGGCCAGATTCTCTTGTAAAATCAGAAGAAATTATGCTCCTATATGCCTGTTCCCTTTCACCTTTAGCTTAATAGTGCCAACCCAACTTTGTAAACTACAAGTCCCTGCATATTTATCTCACCTGCCTTCTCTTGGCTTCAGCTTCCTGGGTAGAGATTAAAGGATGAGTTAACATATGTTATGAATCAGTCAGTAGGCATAATAATTAGTAAGCATACTGTAAGCTTAAGCCACTGTAATTTCATGGTTCTACATATGGCTTTTGGAAACAGCAAACTAATTTGAGTATAACAAATCTGATTTTTTTTAAAAAAAATGTATGCTCATTCTTAAAGATACATTTTACATTTGGGGGGAGGGGTACATTTATTCAGATTAATCCACATTTGCCATGCCCATGACAGATTTGCCAGTGAGTGAAACAGGGTCTGTAGGAACTGATGCATGCAGAAAGTCCCAGTCCCTGACATCATCAGTTAACAGGATCTCAGGTAACTGATCTGTAATCTGAGAAGGAATAATAGCTCAGTGGTAGAACACCTGCTTGGCATGCAGAAGGTCCTAGTCAAAAGAATAAGGTAACAGATTATGTGAATGGCCTCAGGCTAAGAGCAGCTTGCCACTCAAGAGTAGGCAGTATTGGGCTGGCATAAAGCTGAGCTGGTATAAGCCTATTTCCTGTGTACCAGAACTCATATATAGCAAAGTAGGCTAAGTCTGCAATACGAGAGCAGTATGAACTAACATACCACACAGAGACAAAATCAAGTAGGGCATGTTCACATAGAGACTTTCTCACACCCCATTAGGCCTGTTTCTCTGGGCACACCTTTGATGCTGTGTGTGTGTGTGTGTGTGCGCGCCACCATAGGTGAGGGAAGTCCCTGTGTGAGTGTGTCCTTAATGTGTATTTCATAGGGCCAATCCAACCATAAAGGCAAACTAGGCAAATCTAGAGTGTCAAATTCCAGGGGTGCCCACTACAGAGCTGCTTCCTGTGCTTTTGGAGGAGGCAAACAGGGGCAGCTTAGCAGCTCAAGGCCTGTGAGAGAGGAACCCCAGTGTCCCAAGAGCCTTAAACACTGTAGTAAAAGGGAAGAAAGTAATGTAGTGAGAGATATTTAAAAAGAGGACACAAGAATTACAGCCTAGTCAGCTTTTGTTCATTTCATGTGCAATACAGTAGTCTGAATTTTTGCAGGACGCAGCAACTGCAACTACCAAGTTGCTTGTGAGCTTTCCTTGCTCAACCCCTGCTCTGTGGCTGCTCTGCTTCTCCTCTCTCTCATGCCCAACAATGCTGGCCTTCCACTGTCAGCTGTGTGGAAGTCCACCCCTTGCTGCTTTGGGTGGCAGCCCTGCCTGGGCTTGAGTTCTGTGAGCTGGGGGTGCAAGAGCTGGGCAGATGTGGGTGGCACCACTTTGGGAAGGACTCAGGGGCAAGGACCACCACCAGTAGATGTTAATCTACTGAATGAGGGGCTTTATGTGGGCCTTTTATTCTGTGAGATTGGCTGTTTTGCCCAGTTAAAATTTAAAAGAACAGTCTGGGCTCTTATTTTTCTTTTGAGTCTTGGGTTGATGATTTTTGTCTGCAGTAGGATCAGTTGGGGAGAGCTCAGCAGGCCCCAGCTGCAGTGATGAAGTATGGTGTGAGAGAAGGGTCATGCCAAGTAAGGGGGACTTGACACAGAGAGTTGGTGGCTGTGTCAGCTTCTTCTCTTGCCAGAGTAATTGTGGTTGTTGTTATCAGCCAGCCCTCGGATGCTGTTATTAAGTACCAGGTCAGTTTTAAATAAAATCTCCCTCTTTCACAATTTGTGAATGGTGAAGCTGAGCTGGCTTGTATTACCAGTACTTGCTGAGTTTAACTGATCTTACCCAGCTTTCCCTACCTGAGTACTTGGTACAGTGTCAGGGCAAACTTGGGGGTCAGGGAAGAGGGGTTGCTGTGACAGTAGAAATTGGATCTCTCTCTCTCTCTCTCTCTCTCTCTCTCTCTCTCTCTCCCCAAGCTTCCTGTTTTCTTGAGTGGGACTCTAGTGTGTCTGTGCCTTTTATTGGGCAATTGGAACAGATTAGGGATTCAGCTAGTTTACCATCCAGCCTGCTGCCCAGCAGTCTTTCTGCCTGAGCTAACAGAAGTGGTCTTGGAGGTAGTGTTGTCCCACCCCACCCCCCACCCCGGGCTGTTGATCCTAGGGGACTTCAACATTCATGTTGAGGCCACTAAATCTTGGATGCCTCAGAACTTCTATGGTCACAATAACAACCATGGGGTGCTATCAGCCTAATGCATATGGCAGACCACACTCCGGATCTGGTCCACCAGCTGGGAAGAGGGTGATCTGAAAGTGGGGGGGGGGGGTTAACTTAAGTTGCTTGTCATAGTCTTATAATTTCCTGTTCAGATTTAGGTATTCAGCTGCTTTCTCCCTCTTCAGCAGCTGGAGACCTATTAGAATCGTCTGCCTTTTGGAGGCTGATGGATCCAATTGGGTTCCAGGCTACTCTGGGAGATACTGCTGTCAAAATCCTAGTTAACCCATGGACTAGGTGGAAGATGTGGACTATGGTTGCCCTTGAGCACCCTGTCCTGTTTGGTAGAGCCAAATTGACTTCTTGGTATCACCAGAGCTTAGAGCAATGAAACAGCTTGAGTACACGTAGATGAAAAATCCAGATGAATGCAACTGAACACTAGTGAGTGTTCATTATTAAGTCTCCTCAATAGTAGTGAATATAATGAAGAAGCACTTTGCTGCCTCAATTGCATCCTCACTATGCCACACAACAGAGCTTTTTGGGTAGTATGGAGCCTTTTATTCTCGGCCCAAAGGAGGTGGATGAACCAATGTGAACCATTGTGACTTTTGTAAAGCATTTTGGGGATAAAATCCCTTGTATCCAAGTAAGATAAAGTATCCCTGCATGGTTAAATCCAGTCAAATTCAACATGGGGTGCAGCGTTCTTCTCCACTTTCAGGCTAAGGGAGCCAGTGTTTGTCCACAGACAGCTTTCCAGGTCACAGAACACCGTGACAAACGCCAGAGCACACAGAAACACTGTTTACCTTCCTGCCACAGCAGTACCTATTTATCTACTTGCTCTGGTATGCTTTCAAACTGCTAGGTTGGCAGGAGCTGGGACAAAGCAGGAGCTCACCCCGTCACGTGGATTCAAACTGCCAACCTTATGATTGGCAAGCCTAAGAGGCTTCATGGTTTAGATCACAGCGCCACCCATGTCCCTGTCCCTTGTATCCACCATGCCTTTCACTGCAGCAGGTGACTCTCAACAGATAACCAGAACGCTATCTTGTCCTGTTTTGTTAAGTTGATATGGCTTGAGAATATGGACAAAATTGTTGGATCTGCATAGGTGACCACATTTGCTCTTGACCCTTGGCCTTCATAGCTAATGAAAACTAGTAAAGAGTGGGTGGCTTGCTCAACCAGGGAGGTGATTAACATCTCTGTATAGGAGGGAGTTATCTCTAACTGCTTAAAGGAAGACATTAGACTTAAGAAATGCTCCCAGGATTCAGAGAATTTAAACAACTATTGACTGCTACTGTCCCCTTCTTGAGCAACACTGAGTAAGTTGCTACTAACTAGATCCAGGCTCTGTTGGAGGAGACTGATTGTCTGGATCCATTTCAATTGGAGTTTAGGCCTGGCTTTAGCATGGAAACTGCCTTGGTTGCCCTGTGTGTTGAGAGACAGGCAGAGTATGATGCTGTTGATTCTCCTTGATCTCCCAGAAACTTTTGATACCATTGACCATAGTATCCTTCTGGAGCATTTGTCTGAGTTGGAAGTGGGTGGTACCACTTTACAGTGGTTTCAGTCCTACGTGGATGGTCATCTTCAGGCAGTGGTGCTTGGGGATGTTGTTTAACCCCATGATCCTTCCTATGAGGGGTACTGCAGTGGTCAATTTAATTGTCAGTGCTATTTATTGTGGCACCTTAATGACTAACAGATCTGTTACAGCACAATATTCCACGGGCTACAGTCCACTTCATCAGATTTCCTTTGAAGCAAAATATTTTAGTGCATTGTATGTGGTAATTGTCTTACCAAAGTTAGGATGTCTGTGTTATTAACAACTGCTTTGTGAATTACCACTCTTTATTATGTAATTATCACTGTCTGTATTCTTTTTCTGCATTTCATTTCCCTGTTTACAGTATCCTCTCCCTGTGTATGTATATACCTGTAAATTCATGCACCTGATAAAGTGGACTGTAATCTACAAAAGTTTATGCCTTAATAAATTTGTTAGCCTCTAAGGTACCACAATGCTCTTTGTTGTTTTTAAAACAACAGTGTTTTTACTTGTCTGCAGAAATCAGAAGGGAGGCTGTTAGAATTACCCTAGGAGGGGAGTTCCATGAGAATTAGCTCAGAGCTTGAATATTCTAGTGAATTACCTCCAACAGCTGCTTAAAGCTTGCAGCTGCCTAGAAGAAAACACAGCAGTTACCTCTTGGTAAAACTTGAGCTATGCACAGCCCATCAGGAAACTATGTGTAATGTTAATTTTATAATTTATTAATCATATTCTACACATACATAGACATCCTAACATAATGTACAAAACGCAATAAAACACAGGCAAAAACAACACAGTAAATAACTGGATATAAATCTAAAAGTTTATATCTACATAAGTAGAGACCCATGTGGCAGAGGCATTTTCATCCAAGCTGGGAAAGTTTATCAGATAAACAAATTCAGTTGTCTGCAAATGCAGATAATGAGTGCCTCCTCTTGAGAGGAACACTGTTCCACAGAATAGGGGAGCCACACACAAAAAACCCTGTTCTGACTTACTGTGGAAAAGGCTTCTAAGATCGTTGCAACTTGAAATAGAATCTCTCCCACAGACTGCAATGATCTACTGGGTATGTAAGGGATAAGGCATTCTCTCAATTAATGAGTAATAAGTTGTCCATCTTTTGAGTTTTATTTGTGGACTTCTTTTGCCTGGCCTAGTCTGATGCATTTTTCTTTTCTCTGTGGTCAAACTAACATAAAAAAATCTGTACCCCTTCATCACAGCATACTATGTGTCTTTCTCCTTGTTATGGCTTCCTGCTAGACAGTTTCAGCTTCCTTTTTCCAAGCTACGGCTTCTTTTCAGACCTGGTGACATCAGGTGATGCATTCAGGCAGTTACCAACAACTCAGTGCTACCTTCTCCTCATCATGCTCTTTATCCCTTATCTGTGGTGCTTCCATCACTTCCAGTTCCTCCATCGGCAGTGGTGCCACCTCCACCTCCATGGAAGATGTAGCAGTCATTTGTCCCAGGAAAAGAAGTTGTGTACTGTGCTGCTGAATTGGAAGCGCAGAAAGCTTCCATTTGGACATACCCTTTATGACCTTAAGGATGAAGGGCCAACTTTGCTTTGAGATGCCAAAATCTAGTGCTGAGACAGTTGCCACACTGGGGATTTAAACAATTAACAGTGTATAATAGAACTAAAGGAGAGTACTGTACAATTTTCTGAATTGTCAGTGCTTCACAAGTGCAGGCCATCTTGAAAAATATGCTTTAAAATGTCATATGGTTAAATTTAGGTGGGTTTTTTTGCTAAGACAGTTCCAGTGAATTGAGTGCATTTCACTGGCACAAGTGTAATGAAACCACTGACAGATCACTTAGCACGATGAAACACTCTCTCTGATCTAATTTGACTCCAAGTTTTATGTGATTGCCACCAAGCCAATAAATGTGATGACTCCAAACTTTTTTACAGTACTGTGGTGTCTCAGAAGAGCCATGATACAATATACACTAATTATGGGCTGACTCCAAATTGAATTAAGTAATAGAGCTGGATTTGGCATAGAAAATGTTTAATTCAAGCAGAATGAATGGAGCAATGTAGCGAAAAATTACTGTACTCTTTCCAAAAGAACTGCTCAGTATGACGTTACAGAGACTGAAACACCACATATCCCACATACTCCATGGTCTGAATAACATTGTTAAGTGTTGAATATCAAATTGATTCTAGGTTGTAAAATCTCCCAGAATGCAGAATGTGGCTGGGACATTATCCATATTATATTTTTAAAAATCTGAAAAATATATATAAAAAGACATCCATATGCATGCTGAAATAAATATTACATTTGACTTTCAGGTAATAAGTTACAAATAAATGGGAACATGTAAGGAGTGAAATATTGTCATGTATTTTTTATATATAAATGCAGTTGCTTTTTGACTGTAGAGCTTTTCAATGCAAAATGGTTTAGTGGCCAATTTCTATATTCTTGGGGGAGCCATAATATTCTCCAGATAGTGGCCTACAGGCGGAAAATCTCTCTTATGAGGGCTGGGGTCATTTAATAAAGTTGGTGTCATCTAGGAGGAAGGATTTCCCTGTTATGGCACATACAAAATCCAAAGAGTACTGGAACATTAAAGTCTGGAATCACATTCATGCACTCTCTCTCTCTCTCTCTCTTTCTCTCTCTCTCTCTCTCTCTCACACACACACACACACACAGACAAAGAAAGACCTTTTGATAACAATTTTCATTTCAAATGCAACTGCTGGCAATATTTTACAATCCACTTTTAGAAAAATCTGTTGACTAGATTAATAGATCTTAACATAGACTGAGGGCTTCCTGTTGACCATCCCTGGTATGGAGTGTGTCATGTAAGTATATCACAGAGGACTTTCATGCATGGGAGAGGGAGGGACGGGAGAGAGGATTTAGATGACCATGGAAAGGTGAAAATAAACTAAATTGTTCACCAGTTTGTATTGAAAACTAAACTGGAGAAAAATTATGTTTCCATATTTGAAACATTATGAGCCCCCAAGTTTCATACTGACAGGACAGGAAATATGAGATTTGGTGAAATCACTATGCCAAGCAATCTAAACCATATAAGCCAACAGCTGTTGTACTTACCAGAAACGCAGTAGCCAGCTACCACTACCACCTTCATGAGCTTCTCTGTTTAGTATCCCAACGTTGATCAGATTGGAATGAAAACCAAAGCAGGATGTGGCCAATTCTATGGATGTGTTGCTGGCAAAAGGGAAAGTTTAGTCATTAAGCCTGAGGTTCTCTATTTCTATTCAACTATGAATTTAATTATGACAAGTTTCAGTGACTGTTCATTATACATTGTGCATTCATTCAGATAGTGTTCCAAATGTTAAAAGCAAAAATACTCATATTTTTGTTGATGAATGTGGTTTCTACTGTGCTGTAGATCAACTTCATAAGATTATATGTGGCCAGTGATAATTAAGCAATCCCATTCTAGAGCTAGCAATGAGTTGGCTTTTGACTAAACTGACTGGCTTTCAGGGCTGCAGAAAAACTGCACAGTCTCGTGCTAAAAATACTGGTGAATTATGGGTGCTCGGTTGCTTAGACTTATGTGTGTTTGCCGGTGACATTGCTGCTTTTACATGTATTCCTGTATAACTGCCCTGCTTAAACTGGCATCGGATATTTGCATTAGTTCACAGGCCTTTTTGCAGGAGGCGGGAAAGCTTATATGTCTCTGGTTTGTGGCTTGCAGATCTTTTCAGTTACCAACAACACAGAATGTGTGAAGATGCTGCAGGAAATAAAATGTGCACACTGTTCGCCGAATGCTCAGAATCTGTTCCACTCAACTGAGAAGGAGGCACTGGGAAGAGAACTAGTCCTTCCTTTCCTGTGCAAGGATTATTGTAAAGAATTCTATTACACTTGCAGAGGTCACATACCAGGTAAATCAACATTGTAAATAGTAATGTATTATAATTGTGTATACCTTTTATTGCTAACACATTGTGCAAAGCATCCTATGTGTGTCCTAATGTGTTTTATTCAGAAAATACTGTTCAGGAGTCTTACAATTGGATCTAGATAATCAGATCATCTACAGTTAAGTGTTTCTTTTCTTAAAATTCATTATGTTAACTTGGCATAGTGTACAGTTTGTCCCGTTCTCCCCATGGGACACTAAACCATAACTCCTGGGCACTGCCCTTTATCCAGTTGCTTAGTCTCGAGGCAACAGGATCTAGGCAACAGGTCCAGAGTGCAAACTCTGGTAAATCAGGATTGAGCACAGGCTCTGCAGGACCTGGGAGAGCTCCCAGTGGGTGTTCCCAGATAAGGCAGAGACCAGCACCTAACTGGCAACTTGCTTCTGGCTTGAAGCATCACACCTGTGTGCAAATGAACAGCCTCAGAATGTGCATTATTATTTCTCTTCTGAGGATCTCTCATGGAGAAGAGGCCTGTTTTATACCTTTCGCTGGAGTGTTGTATGTCAGAAAAGTGGAACTAAATCTGAAACTGTTCTCCTGCTTCTGCAAATACTATAAAAGGGTCACTGCTTAATGTTTTGCATGCAAAAGGTTCCAGGTTCAATCTCTGGCATCTTCTGGTAGGGCTGAGAAAGACTCCTGCCTGAAACCCTGAGGAGCTGTCACTACTTAGTGCAGACCGTACTGAGCGGAATGGGCCAGAGATCTGACTCATTATAAGACATCTTCCTATATTCTTGTGCACAAGCAGAAGAATGGGAATTGCTATCGAACCTAACCAACTACAGCACTGTTTACAAAATAGCATTAGTGGGGTTTTTATTTTTTATTCATGGTTCTTTTGATTCAACACTATAATTTGGATTCAAAGTGGAGTTATCATCATCATTACAATATTTATTATTTTGTATAGCACTTAAAATAAACTAAGCATTTAGTTGCAATTGAAAGCTGCCCAAAGACATTCAGCCTAAATATTGACAAGCCATTGGGGAAGGGGACATAGAAAAAATATGCAAAATATGGAAATGGTATATGGGAGAAACTGTTGATGTAAGTTTAATATTATTATCACACTTTAAAAAAATTGTAAACAAAAAAAAAAGCACACCCAGAAAAACAGTAAGGGAGGAAGACCAAGAAAAAAGGTTGGGTTTTCAGGAATGTTTCAAACGAAGTCACAGAGGAAAGTAATCCCAGCCATAGGGAGAAATGGAAGACCAGGGAAAACCCCTCAGTCCAAATAGAGGATCAAAGGAAAGGCAAGCAAAGAAACAGGAGAGTGCCAGGTAGCAATAAAGGAAGTTGATGTCCTGTCCTCTTTGAAGCACTGTGCTAAAAGGGCCATATCAGAGGTCACAGGCAGCCTCAGGTGGAATAGTGGGTGTTAAATCATCAGCGAGGAGCCCCAAAATGCCTGATGCCTCAGAAATGTTCACTTGAAATTTTGAAATACAAATATGGACTCAGAAGACTACATGAGATGTCTACTTCATTTTTTAAAAAGTTTGTTGTCCTTTTAAGAAAGCTGATTTTGTAGTAATATAAGTTAAACATATCTAGAGGACTAAAGCAAACCTTCAACGTATTTGTAGGATTTGGACCAGTTCCATGGTGTTGCTAAACACATTGGGCAAAATAGTGGCGTTTGATAAACACATGAGACCACAGCATAGTAAATGTTATTCTTAATGTATTATGTAATAGAGAAGAGAATCTAGGCCATGAGATCTATGGTGACCATACATGGGACACAATCCAGATAAATTTACATTGTGCTTAAGTCCTTTGACACCAATGGGTTTTAGGAACACTCAACTTTCTCTGGATTGTCCCTGTAGTCTACTATCACCTTTCTCTGTACTATCAAAATGTTTTGCAGGGGATGTCTTATCCTCCAGCTGCTCCAACTTTAACCTAATTATCATAAATTATTCTGCTTTTTTTTTTACTTTGCATATATGCTACTGTCCCCTAGCAAAGGATTATGAGCACAGTGCAGGCAAAGACAGACACTTTTAATTCCCACTGTGATTGTTCCACAGTGCTTAAATGCCTTCCATTTAAATTTATGAGAATTAATTTGCCCCCAGGCAAATTAGACACTACTTGTTGCTTTTTAAAATGTTTCTGTCTATCTCTATCCACAAAATGAACTGTGTCCTGCTCTCTGATATTGTACCACCTTTTGAAATACAAAGTTGTGACTATATAATTGCAAAGCAGTTTTTCCTTGCATTATCTCTTTCCATGTTTACCTTAAAAGTGTAAATTATGCTGTCGTATAGGAAAGCTGAGGCAGTAAGACTCTTAATGCCATGGTTTGGCACTAATGTGCACAAACAGAACTGTGTAAAACTGAGTCTCAGCCTTGTGTTCTCCATCCTTCCTCTGAGGATTCTTAAGTGACTTCCTCTTAGATCCAAAAGCAATGAATATATTTTGCTCAAATCATAGTTTGCTCTTAAACTAGGATCAAACTGTGGTTTGGGATCTTGGTTTAAGAGCAAACTGTCATTGGAGCAAACCATAGTACACTGCACTTGGACACAATGGGAAACTATGGTTTGTTGACAAACAGGAAATCAACTTTAAAATCCTTAGCACACGAGGGAGGATAGCTCAAGCTTGATTCTTGACTCTCCTTAGCTCTGCCCATCTATCTATAGCCAAACTATGGTTTGGTATTTCATCTGAATGCAATCACTGTAATGTGAAGAGTAGAAGAAATTAGCGGGTGCAACTCTATCACACCTTAAGTTGTATAATAATTATTTATGAAATTTGTACAGCTTTTTTAAAAAGTTGCATAAATAATAAGAGTTAAAACAAGGCATAGGTGAATGTGAAGCACTTTTGGAAAAAAGGCTTTTCAAAAGAATATTTGTGTACAGAGTTCTTGATTTCTTTTAACTCTCAGCGATGCAGAACATTTTTGTAGTGTTCTTTGACTTGAGAAAACATTTTGAAAAGGCTTGATTTTCCCCTTTGGTGTGGTTTAACATGTATCTAAACTCATTCAAATATGAAAATATTATTATTGTCTTTGTAAACTACAGAGACGTTTCTAAGACTTTCCTAAACCAGCTGTTCTTTGCTCTTTATTGCATTCCCCAAAGCAAAGCAGAATAGATCAGAGTTGCCAAGACTGCCTGCTGAGCAGCGATAACAGATTAGATTAAATGTTTGGCTCATACTGGAGGCCACTAAGAAGAATTTATTTATCTTTTTATTTATTTTTAATACTATTTAAATAAAAATAATAATTATCACATATGAGAAGCACATCCTGCTAAACTTTAACATTGTGTGTGTGTGTGTGTGTGTGTGTGTGTGTGTACAAAAGTCATTGTTTTTGAGGAAAATTTTCTTTCACGCTATGAAAAGAATAAGATGCTAAATGCTAAAGGAAGTGGAGAGAGAGCGATCTGAGCTGCACAGGAGCTGGAGTCGAAAGAGCCTCACTCCCTAGATCAACATATGTGGTGACGAATGACAAATTTATTTTCCTACAGAGCTTGTGTATATGTAAAACTGCTGAAGTGCATCAAGATGTCAAGTGCTTTTTGTGACCACCCAGGTTGCCTTGAAAGATAACCAGATGAAAACATAACTTTTAAGCACTGGGCTTTGGAGGAAATGGCTTACATGCTGTAGCATCAGCTAGAGTAGGATTTTTCCTACATCAATCAGATGCTAATAATCATTATAAAGACTTGTTCTGAAAGTGGGCCACAAGGACAATAAATAAATAAATAAATACACCCATGTCCAACCAAGTAAACTGATTTGTTTGGCAGAGTGATCATTCAATGGTTCCTGAAAGTGGTGTGTTGAAGTTTGGTTTCTGTTTCTGGGACAAATAACTGATGGCTCAATTCTATAGTTCTGTGATATTAAAACCAAGGAGAGGAGCAATTTTTAACAGAAAACACATATAGATTTCAGTTTATTTGATCTTTGCATCCCTTTCTAAGATCTGTAACAATTGCCAGAGGAGTAGTCTTCTTCAACAAAGACAACAAGAGTAACAAATTGATTATGGCATAAACTTCCATTGCCTTAAGGCAGCAAACCTTGTCTACTCACAAGTAAGTCCTATTGAATTCCTGGGGCTTTTTACCATGTAAGGTTAGGATTGCAACCTAAAATCTCTAGTGAGCAAAAGCTTAGGCCTGTTCACCTTTAAGCTGTCATGGGACTCTTTGGTGTTGCTTCCTAACAGCTGAATCCATAAGAAATATGTATAAAGAATTTTTTTAGTACCTGGCTTTATTCAGCTGACATTTATTGCTTTCCTGAGAATGGGAAACAAAAGGAAATTCTACAACAGCCTGTTATATCTCAAAATGGAAATGTAGCTGTGTTGGCCCATGAGAAGAGGAAAATCCAAACTTCATAATTGGGCAACAGGACCAACCAAAATGTCACAAAATCATGGCAGGCTTTGAGAATAACTTAGAAACATTAACCAGGAATAAATAGGCTTATAAAGGACATTGAATTAGAGTGCAAAGGATCAAAGCACCCCACAACTGATTCTACCAGTCACAAACAAATATTTGTCATAAAAATGCATTATCACCAGAAAAGGTAAAAAAAAAAAAGTCCTTTGAACTCAGGTTCAGATTCAATTTTCAGTGGAAAATTACTTGGAAGAGGGGTTGGAATGCCATTTTAATTTTGTATATTTGTTTTTGCTACCGATAAAGTTATGTTAACATTCCCATTTTAAAATGTAGGCATTTTTTTAAAAACTGGGTGAATCAAGGGAATATAGCTTGTTCTTTTATTCCCTATACCCGCAGGTGCCCCCTCTTCCCTACATGTTCCAAATGCATAAGCAATACACATTTAAACCCTTCTTTTCTAGTTGAGCTAGAAAATATGGATAAAAATAAAAATTGTTGACAAGCACTTATGGGAATGCATCACTGTCCAGTGGCAGTAGAAAAGTTAAGAACCCAGTGAGAGGAGATGGAGTTCATCACAGTTCAATTATAAGCTTACCTTAGTACTGCAGAGTACCAGTTGCATTCTGCAAGTGAAGATACAATCCTGAATGCCTTTGGAAACTCTGAGTGGTGCATAACTAAGTACTTTTTCCTAGTATTTCTGTTTGCACAATGAACTTCCTTTCCACTCCTTTCCCCATGTGCCCCTGTGCCCTCCCCAGATCTGCTCTAGAGGGTTATGGGTAAACCCATAGCAGATTTAGGGAGCATACTGGGAGAGGAGAGGGAGCAAAAGTTCAACTGCATTGTCCAAAGTCCTTACACTAGCGGACACACTTCATTGGATGCCACCCTCTGTCAATTTCATTTCAAGACTGGTTTTAGTGTATATAAATCCTCATGTTTCCTCAGAGCTGTGGCTTCGATTGCTGTCTATTATCATGTTTGTTTTTCTTATGAAGAAGAGTAGATGTTGTATTGTGCCTCTGGGATAAGAGGCATAAACATGGCCACCTTCCAGACAGGGTGCCCTGGACTTTGTCTGCATCACATTTTCATGGTTCTATCTGTGATGAAGTAACTCAAATATTTGCATATCCATATCAGTGAGTGAAGCCTAAGCATCCTTATCTATCAAGCACTAGGGGACTTTAGTGCTGGAAGTGGTGTCTTGGTGAAGTCTCTAGCCATTACTGGATGAACTCCCTTAATGTAACAGTGGAACAGGGTACTAGGAAGAGCCTTAGTCTGTGCTTGGCTGATCTGTTTTGTGACACTAGAGGGATTGTGAGCAGAAAGAGTAGGAGAAGCAGAAATCTAAGAATGAGGGAGTCAAGATCTTGAAAAGGCAGTAGGCTTTGCTTTTTCATTATTGTATTTTTATGCCAACTTTCCTCCAAGAGGCTCAAGGTGGCATACATAGTTCCCAGCTCCATTTTTATCTCACAACAACCCTATGAAGGGAAGTTAGGCTATGAAATATTGACTGGCCCAAAGTCACCCCAGGGGATTTGAACTCTGGTTTTGCCCAGGTCCTAGTCTAACACTCTAATCACTGTGCCATACTGGCTAAGGTGCTTTGTGACTTCCTGTGACACTGGATGGACCCTGAGATTGACAAGGGGAATCAATAGAAACAGGTGGATAAGCAGGATGTGGGCAATTTACCTCAATTTCTGTCTGTGAGGTCACATCCACACCATATATGCAAAGCACATGGCTTCCCACAAAGAATCCTGGGAACTGTAGTTTCAGAACTACAATTCCCAGCACCATTAACAAAGTACAGTTGCAAGGATTCATGAGGGAAAGCCATGTATTTTATATGTATGGGGAGGACGTGACCTGCTGCTGAAGAGGGATCACCTCAAACACAGAATTCATTGGCCATATAGATACAGTTCAGAAGTATATGTTCATAATGAAAGGGAGATGAAGAGAGGAGAACAATAAGGGGCAAACAATTTCCACATAGGTAGATGGAAATATGAGTTCTGCAGGGGGATTGAGCTTGGTATTATTGGGTAAAATGAAAATTCATCTGGATTAGATTCCTAGGAATGGCAAATGAGAAACCATAGATGGGCCGAAAAGCTGAAACATAATGCATCCATATAAAGTTATCATTCAGCAAACTGGGTAGAAGTATAACTCCATCTCAGTCAGTCAGTTGTATTATGAGACCACACTGACTGTGCCTTATTGTTGTTTTGATATTGGATATCCTGCCATTAATTGTTTCTGTAAATTATGTTTGTAAATACATTAGCACTGTGGTGTGGTTTATTCAATGTTGATGCTAATTCTGAGTTTTTGGCATGTCTTCTAATCAGATTCTTTCTTGATCTATTTATTCATGAGATGGTGTTTCACTGCAAATATGCAGTCACCAATCAAGAAAAATAAACTTGTAACAAATGTTTGACACAAACCCATGCATATTAAATGCTTTCAGCTAAATGTTTAGCAGGTTATTTTTTTTAAAAAAAATACATTTTACCCACTTTACTACCAAAGTTTTTAGGGTGGCATACTTGCCCTCTCTTTTATCCTCAAAATAAAGTGAGGTAAATTAGGCTGCAAGCCTAACCATACCTACTTGGGAGTAAGCCCCACTGAATTCAGTAGGATTTGCTTCTTTTACAGGCATGGTTAGGATTGCACTGTTAGGCTATGAGATAGTGACTAGACCAGAGTCCGTAATTTTTGTGGCTGCCCAGGTGCTCTGCTTCTCTGTTATCTACTGGTGGAGTGTTTTGGAATTTAAAGGTGGAGCTAGTGGAGAAATGGCAAGTGTTCACAAGAGAGTGTTATTTCATAGAGCAATAGTTAGGGATTTTAGTAACTGCTGTAAATGGCTCTATTGTCTTCATTGGTGTTATCTAAGTGGCTTTAAGAATTGCTAAGGCATTCATATGCCATGACATTTTACTGTATCATAAATTCTCTTGCTGTTTGCCCTTGGTTTTTACACTGATGGGCCTTTTTCAACAATCATTTGTAAAATAGGTAGCAGAATGAAAATACAAATGAAAATCAATATTACATTCTTTTTTAAAAAAAACCACAATAACGGTATATAAGATGTTTGCATGCAATAATATTTTAAAGTTTCTGTTGGTAGATTCTTTGATCGGTCTAATTCCTAAAATGGAAACATTGGATTATTGATACTCAGAGTTGAGCCATTGTAATTAATAGACATGACTACCATTAATTTCAGTAGGACTACTCTGAGTAGGACTAGCTTTAAATACAATTCATTAATTTATCTGTTAATTTCTCAAGTATTTGAGATCATTCATTGTACTGCTGAACTGTCTGATAATAAGCCACAAGAAGATTTGTTTGTTTTTATTTGTCCATATTAAAGAGAGTCTTTTGCAAGATGAGAGGCATTTTTAAAAAATTCTCCTTTTTAGTCTATACAAAGGCTATTTGTATATTTATGAACAAAATATCAATATTCATTAATAAGCTAAACATTTTTTCCTTCACTTTTAAAGGTTTCCTCCAAACTACAGCGGATGATTTTTGCTTCTATTATACAAGAAAAGATGGTGGCTTGTGCTTTCCAGATTTTCCAAGAAAACAAGTTCGAGGACCAGCTTCTAACTATTTGGACCAGATGGACGAATATGGCAGAGTAGAAGATATCAGCAGGTTCATAAAGATAAATACTGCTTAATCTAAAAAATCTGACAAATCTTTGTAGTTGACATTGAGTTGAGTCAGTCTTTGCTTATGCTTCCCAGCTGTGTCATCCAGATGTTGCCTTCTCTTGCTGTTGTTAGCAGTCCATTCTTTAGAATGTATTGAATTCTTGTGTAATACGTACTTTACTAATGATTCATTGACTTCATTCTGGATCAAATACATTGCAGATGTGTTATCTGAAATGTTATCTAAATTTAATTGTTGGTAATTTGATTTTCCCCTCTGATTTCTTATCAGTTAACCACTCCTGGTTGTTGTTTTGCCCCTCTTCTACATTATCCACTTATGACCCAAAATGGATTTCCATCATTTAAGTTTAGTGCAGCAAATATTCCCCCACAGGCTGAAGGGTTCTTATGTGTTCAGTATTTAGTACTCATCCCAGGGTAATGAGAAATTTAACCTGTGTTTTGAACACAGAGAGATTAGGGTCAGCATGAGTTTGGAGTTGAAAGGACAGTCTCATTTTTCATAAATTTGCTTCAGTCTCTCTCTTCTTTTCTCCAAGTTCAGTTTTAATTCTAACATCTATACTACCCCATGATGGTCAATTGACCCCTTGGGTTAATACTTCGTGCTTTTTTTTAAAAAAAAAAGGTTAAAATCCAGATAAAAGTATATTTGCCCCTAATTCCTCCAATTCTGGAAAAAAAATCTGTAAATAGTATTTATGCAGGTGTGTATTATATTATCCTGTAATATATAGTGTATTATATAATGCATACAATTTAATAATAATATGTTATGTATTATACATTCTGTTGTATATATTATCTCTACAAGCTATTGGGCTTTGTTCTGTTTATAATTACTGTTAATTGTAACAATTCCAAAAGTTAGTCTTAGTCCTTTTTCAAATAGTGTGCTGTTTTTAATTTAATTTTGAATATGTTGGCATTTAGAAATTAAGCACATGTTGCATTTAAGTAAGATTATGGGTCAGTTATGCATCTGTCCATTACTTTTCACTTACCATTGTGTGCACCACAATCCTATGTGTGCGAACACAGAAGCAGAGCACAACAAATACAAATAAGCCACACATTCAACAGGTGGCAGTTCCCCTCCTCAATTCTAGTTAATTTAGGCCAAAATCTCCAACCCAAAGCTCTAAATGCTCCCTCCCTACCTCTCTATTCAACCCCCCCCCACTTGTAGCTGTCCTCTACCTCCTTCCTTCACCTGGCGTGATGTCACCTCCCTGTAGGTAGTATCTGTGTCCAAATAGTTGAGAGAGATTCTCAGATATCAGGAGACCTTAGTCCTGTTGTTAGCTCCCATAGCAGTCCTGGACTATTGGTGAGCAATTTGGCTTACAAGGGACTGGGCAGCCAGCAGCTGAGGCATGTTGTCACATCTCCCTCAGTCACTTCCTGTCAGATTGAAAGCTACCTCACCTTCAGATTGAAATAGGTGATACCAAACATTTCCTTTGCTTGCCTTGCTGAATACAGCTGACCTTGTGAATAGTAGGAGCAAGACATTGCCTGTTGTAGCACATGTTCTGATTTCTTGCAAATTGCTTTTCTTGCAGGAAATTTTAAATAGGGAGGCAGTAATCTATAGGTATAACAAAAATGGTGTTTTATTACTTTTTTTAAGGAAGCATAAACACAACTGCTTTTGCATCCATGAGGTTGCAAGTGGCCTGAGGCAGCCTGTTGGAGCAACACATTGTGGAGATGGATCACAGCGCCTGTTCATCCTGGAGAAAGAGGGATATGTAAAGATTTTCACACCTGAAGGGGATTTAATCAAGGAGCCATTTCTGGACATACACAAGCTTGTTCAAAGTGGAATAAAGGTTAGAATTCTTTTTATTTACCATTGCCTGCCTATTTGCTTTTTTATATACTCACTACATTTTCTGCAGCTTCAACTTTTGCCACCTTTGATTTTAAAAGATAAAACAGTATGCAAATATTTTAAAAGGAGAGTGCCAGCTAATTGATCTCATAATAAAACACCTCTCCTCTTTCTCTTCATAGTTCCAACCCAATGAACATTCATTATGCTTAAGATTCATTCATTTAGACTTATACTGGCCAGCTAATTCAATAGGCTCAACAGCAATTTAGTTACAGTAGTAGGGCATATGCTTTGTATGTGTATGGTTCTGAGTTCAGTCTTCAGCACTGCCAGTTAGTAAAGGAGCTCATGGGGCAGGGTTGGAGAAATCCCTGTCCCTGAATGCTTAGAAGGCTGCCACCAGCCAGAGGAAAAGGCATGATTTAGTATAAGGCTTCATATAGTAAAATGCTCAGCTCCATTGACACCTATAACTTAAACCTTTCTATTTAAATATTTGTTCTTTATCACATAATTGTGTGCATAATATTATGACTACAGTGAAATAATTTGAATCCAGGTCACAAATTATTCCACTCAAGAATGTGGTTCTTTATAGTTCATTTCTGTGGAAACAGTTTTGATCCTTTAGCTATTTGTTTCTTGACACCTAATGTGGCTAGCCATTCTCGTTGTTGAATACAGAAGGGGGAGCTCTCACTGCATCAGCTACTTGAGAGGATGGCTCTTCCTTGGCCTTTTCGGTGCATGATAAGATGCAACTATGCTCTGTTCTCCTTCTTCTTGAATTGATTGGATTTTAAGTAACTTGCAAGCTTTTCAACCTCCTGAAATGTGTTTTGCTCCTAAATGCAGCAAGTTAAAATAAAAAGTATTGCATCATTGAACACCAGAAGCTGTTCTCCTTTTTGTTTTGCTCATCTGAGGTGCAAGTTTCCCTTATTTTATTACTGCTTTATACACAAAATGTCATTTAAGTTTTGTAGTGAGAATTGGTATAGAAAATTACATTACTGAAGAGGAATCTGTTCTCATCTTCTGTGATTATCTAGCTATGTACAATTCAAATCTTGTAGCAATGCATACTACATATGACCTAATGAGAATGTCTCTTTTCTATTAAAAAAAATCCAGTTGGTCTGTCTTTCTGGGCAGTGAGGGATATTGACATATTTCAAAGCTGGTATTAATCTGTCCCATTTTCCATATGTATTAACTTGCCTCATAAGAAACAACCAAAGTGACTAACATAAAAAAATAACAACAATAAAATCATAAAACTTTTTTAAAAAACACACAAGGGCAGAAACACACATAATATATCAAAATCATTTCAGGTTGCAATCCTATGGACACTTAACTTGGAAGTATGTTTCATTATTTCTGAGTAGACACACATAGGATGGTGCTGTTGAACTGTTGTCACTAGACCTAACAGGTGAGAATTGAGCATGTTCTTGACGTTGGCACTTACAATGAATGAAAATTACATGCTGATTACAATTTCAACTATAACATTCATGGGAAATACATATGCTGCAACTCTATAACACTTACTTAGGAGTTAAGTCTTATTGAACTCATACTTTTGAGTGAATACCGGTAAGAATTACTCTGCAATTCAAAAACATGTATGCATATTTTCCTTGTATCCTTTAAAGTACTTCCCATGGTCTGATTGTCCACCTTTTTTCCAAAGAAGTTTGGGAGTTTGGTGTGAAAAACTACTTTAGGGAGAAATGACTTTTTGTCTACCATGTGCCTGCTTTTTCATTTCAGTAATTTTCACACCAATTCCAAAAAAATAAATAAAAATCATGGCAGTTCATAGAGTTTAGGGATTTGGTGAGCAAAGTTATTTCAAGAAAATTTATTGAAATGGGTGTGCAGATACCATGCATGTGGGAACTTCTGGAAAATGCTCTCAATGTATTTTAGTCTGCAAGAGTGGGGGAACCTGTGGTCCTCCAGGTGTTATTGGACTTCATTTTCCATCAGCACTAACCAGCATGGCCAAGTGGTCAAGCATGATGGAATTTGGAGTCCAACAACATCTGGAGGGCTACAGGTTCTCCATCCGTATGGCACACACCTGCTTAGGAGCCAGCATCATTGACCTCAGTGGGACTTACTTCTGAGTAGACATGTATAGGACTGTGCTAATTGTCCATTAGGAAATTGATTGACCCATAATACCGAAGTGTCCACAGAATAAATTTCAAGTGTGCACCTCTGTGGGAAGATCTATATTATAAAGACAGATATTCATTGACCTGTTGCATGTCTTATTCTGTTAGTGTGAAGGTATAGCAAACCTAGATTAATCAGAGAATGCTTCCACAGCACTACTATTGTGGAAAAAGAACTGTCAACAGACAAAATTGACTAAGAAAGGTTTTACTAGTTTCAGTGGATAAGAACTGAGAAGTCTGATGAAAAACCTTGTACTTTTTAATTCACATTTTCATATTTCTGTTATTAAAGCTGGTATTTTATTATTTTGTATTCCATCAACACCACTAATTTCAAAGCAACAGCAATAACATATTTTTAAAGCATGACACATTGTCTGAATAACACAGTTTTCAGTAAATGTCTAAATGATTTCTAAGAGTTTAACATTCTATGGTCTTTTAAACGTGTTTGTGGGAAGGGGGTTATTGGTTTCCTTGTGTTTTATTACATATTTTGTGTTCTCATTTTGTATTTTTATGTTGTGAACTGCCCTGTGATCTTTGGACGGGGGGCGGTATGCAAATTTAATTAATTATAATAATACAGTAATAACAATTTACTGTTTTGGTAACTTAATTATATGAGGGTATAGAGTCATAATATAGTCCTTTTGCAGGTCTTATAAGACAGTATTTGCCAACCTGGTGCCTTCCAGCTGTTCGGTCTACAATTCTCATCAGCCCCAGCCAGCACGGCTATGGGAGTTGCAATCCAAAACATCTGGAGGGCACCAGGTTGGCAAAGGCTGCTATAAGACAAACTTCCCCTGTTTTTCTTTTAGACAGCTTGAGCAGCAGACTATGGAACAAAACATGTCCCTTTGAAACTTACAAAGCTATTGTATCAAAGTTCTATTGTATTGAGATCAACCGTTTAAGTAATGATAGTAGTGTTTTAATAATAAATCTAATGAAAACAACATGATAAAAGCACAAAGCCTCTGAAGAGAATGAAAGAACCCCCGTGAAAGAGAAAACATATGTCAGGGAAATGATACTGAAGATAGGCTCTTAAGAATATATGAGCTAGACTCCTTGACCTCAGCCACCTTCTGCTCCCCTCCAGGCTATGAACTGTTTTTGCTTGTCACAATGGCTTAAATTTTAATAGAAAGTTTCCCTAAATCTCGAACCACATCTGCTTCTTTGTTTCTTTCTGCAGCCAAATCCCTCAGTGAGGCCAACTATACATACTTCAGTGTTTCCATATATATATTTTGTTGCGGGGTGGAGGGAGTAAAATATTCTTATATAATTCCTTTAGGAAAAATTTCGAAAGTTTACAGTTTGCCACAATCACAGTGTATTACAGATAAACGTAAAGGTATTTCAGCTATGCATATTGAGTTCTTAAGTCGATTGTCTGCCAACCGATTTTTTCACAAGCGCTGGCATTTGCGCATGCGCTCCTTTCCAAAGCAACAAACTTCAAACAGTTTCTGTTCATTACTGAGGCTTTCATAGATTCTATGGAGTTTCTACAAAGAAAATAAAGGGATAAATAAGGTGCATTTCACACTTTATGCAGCAGTTTCCCCTCTATCTCTGGCATTGAACATTACAGTGGAACCTCGGGTTACATACGCTTCAGGTTACAGACTCCGCTAACCCAGAAATAGTACCTTGGATTAAGAACTTTGCTTCAGGGTGAGAACAGAAATCGTGCTCCGGCAGCGCGGTGGCAGCAGGAGGCCCAATTAGCTAAAGTGGTGCTTCAGGTTAAGAACAGTTTCAGGTTAAGAATGGACCTCCAGAACGAATTAAGTACTTAACCCGAGGTACCACTGTACAACATTTGTGAGAGCATCAACATATTTGTCTATAGACATACTTGTGCACTGGCTGTGAAATGGGGCAGCATCTCAAGCTGATTTCTTTTCTTGTGCAGGGACGCCACTGTTTAATATACCAAAATTGTCACTATAGAGATGATTTCTATGTGAAGGGGTTCAGAAACCCCTCTTTCTACACAGGGTGACCAGCCCTCCAGAGGTTGCTGAACTACAACTCTCATACAACAGCTGCATTGGCTGCCAGTTTGTTTTCAGGTCCAATTCTAAGCAATCATGCTAGTGTTTAAAGTCCTAAATGATTTAGACCCCAAATATCTGAAATACCATCTTCTTCCCTCCGGGCCCTCTTGGCATTTCCACCTCCCTCAGAGGTTCATTGGGGTGGCCCAGGAGAGAGTATTCTCCACGGCCAGCCCTAAGTATTATGTCTGACTTCTTCACTATACAGCTTTCAATAAATGCTGAAGACACACATCCTCATTTTTATTTTTATTTTATTTATTTCACAAAATATATGTGCCTCTTGATTGTAAAGAAACAACAACCTGGCCTTTGACACCTGGAATGTGTCAGGGCCCCACACTGTTACCATGACTGCACTCTGTTCTATTTTTAATTACGAATTTTAAACTGTTGTAACCCACCCTGGGACCTGCTGGTGAAGGGTGGGTAATAAATTTAAAAATGATGATGATGATGATGATAACCCCTGGTCATTGGCCGTCCTTACTGGGGCTGATGGGAGTTGAAGTTCATCAACCTGAGGGCCACAGGTTCTCCATTCCTGTTCTGCAAGATCTGGCTTTCCTTAACTTGCTCTTGCGGCTGCTTCTGCTGTTTATTTCTAGTATACCAAATGCAGAGGGAGCTAAGAACCTTTTGCCTTTGTAGAATCTGAAGGGATATGTGCTCAGGTCAGACACGGGTGAACCGAGCTGTTCCTACATTTTTACTGTACTTCTCTCTGCCTCACAAGAAGATCTAGACACCAACACTTTCTATATTATGATTTACATCACAAGAGTGTCTTGGCAAGAGAACCCTTGCCTGAACAGCCTTGTAGCCACAATCTTGCACGAAGTTATGCAAGCTTAAACCACTGAAAGCGACACAAGTGGGTTGAATGGCGGCCCTATAAATGGAAAATACTTGCCCTAAATTCTGATCATAAATGCTTTTATTTGGGGACCCCAATATGTAGGTCAGGGAACCTGGATTCCATGCAGGATGCTAGGAGGGAAAATCAGGGGGGAAGGGAGTAGCAGAGAGAGAAAGTGAAAAGATGGCGACTGAAAGAAAACAAAACTGCAGTGCCCCTGCCCACCATTGTCTTTGGCCCCTGCTCACCACTTGCATGCAGTCTCTGACTAATTACTCCTGAGAGAATGTGGCCCTGAATAGAAAAAACATGTTCCCCTTACATTCAAATATTCAAGCAAACAGGCAGAGTTACAGCAGAGCGGATACCAATCCTTTTGGCCCCCACTGAAGGTCAGAGATAGGATGAGAGTCTTCTATCCAACACTGCATTGGAGTGGAAAACATTTTTTTATCCTCTCCCTTTCAGAACTGTGATGAGGAGCAGAACAAAGTGTTTTGAATGTTCTCTTTTCTTTCATATGAACCATATCTCCCACTGGTGTGGCACCACTGTTACTAGATCTTAAAAGAGAAGGAAATGGATCGTGCTGATAGTTTGGTAAAGAAGGGTGTGTTGTTGACATTTTGTGAGGATTAAATACAACTTGGTGTTTTCTGAACAAGGATGTAGGAAGGCAGTGATTTCCCAACCTGTGTTCTTCACAATCAATGCCGTTTCCATTCCACTGTAGTTTAAAGGTAAAGGTAAAGGTACCCCTGCCCGTACGGGCCAGTCGTGACCGACTCTGGGGTTGCGTGCTCATCTCGCTTAAGAGGCTGGGAGTCAGCGCTGTCCGAAGACACTTCCGGGTCATGTGGCCAGCGTGACAAAGCTGCTCTGGCGAGCCAGCACCAGCGCAGCGCACGGAAACGCCGTTACCTTCCCGCTATAAAGCGGTACCTATTTATCTACTTGCACTCAGGGGTGCTTTCGAACTGCTAGGTGGGCAGGAGCTGGGACCGAACGACGGGAGCTCACCCCGCCGTGGGGATTCGAACCGCCGACCATACGATCGGCAAGTCCTAGGCACTGAGGTTTTACCCACAGCGCCACCCGCGTCACTGTAGTTTAGTTTCTGCCAAGTACTATGCCATTCTCCTCCCTGCTATTTAATGTAAGTTATGCAACTTACATAAACTATGTAACCATTTACATAACTTACATTCATCTCAATGTAAAGGAAATGTCAAAACAATGTTTTTAAAAGCCATGAATTACACACCATTTGCAGACTTATATATATATATATAAAGAGATGATGTGAATGAATACTGATCATTTTTGCTTCACTGATTTCCATTCCTGACAACAGATGAACATGTGAACTCCAGCATCCTTCACTTCCTTTTCCATTTTTGTTGGAATAAGATGAAAAATATGGAATGCACCCAAGTGCTATAGAGACCTGTAGCTCTGAACAAGATAACTATTAGCTTTTGCTTGCAGTTGTGGAACACCAAAGTAATATTTAGGCAGTCTGTTTTACACTAAATACATTATGGCCTTTGTTGATTTTGGGCCCAGTGTCCTGGGTTAGAAGAACCTAGATGAGGATGATACTTTATCATTTTCCATGAACATTTGTAGGTTTAATGCTCTGTGTTTCCTCAAGAGGAATCCCATGGTGTCAATTAACTGAACTTGTTCCAAAACAAGGCTCTATTTGGAAAATATAGTTTTCATTGTGGGTGTTCCTTGAAATTGTATGCCTTATACCCTGCTATTATGGAGATGTGTGCAGTAGGGTGAAGACTGCCAGCTTCTTTTCCATGCAGTGTATGAATTAGAGCTGCATCCCACACACAGTGCTAGATAATTTGTGTTTCAATTTTGCTATGTGTACAACTCATTTTAGAGCATTCAACAATTTTAAAAAGTGTTTAAAAAGTCTTCTTCTGGCATGTCATTTGTTGTAAGCAAAGGAATATTCTATTTAGAAATTTTCAAAACCAACTAAATGAGATGTTATTTAGAAAATGTAATTAAAGAAAGGAGGTTGACTGTGTGTGTGTGTGTGTGTGTGAGAGAGAGAGAGAGAGAGAGAGAGAGAGAGAGAGAGAGAATAGCCACATCCTGAGGTCCTTTGTCGAAAGTCAGTACAAGCAATGGAGGCGCAAAGACAGGAAAGACTAGCCGCAGTTACCTATGCTCTGGTAACCTCCCAACTGGATTGCTGTAACAGGCTCTGTGTGGAGTGACCCTTGAAGATAATTTGGAAGCTACAACTTGTGCAGAATGCAGCGGTCAGGATGCTAACTGGTATCAGGAGGTGGGCCCCTATAATGCTATTTTCCAGGAACCACACTGGTTCTTGATCAGCTTCTGAGTCAAATTTAGGGTGTTGATGTTAACTTATAGATGTAAGGGCCTAAATGAGGTGAAGGAGCACCTCCTCTGATATCAACCTGCCCTGGCCTTAAAATCTCTATGAGGGGCTTTCTTGATGGTCCCACCCACAGTTGAGGTACAGGGAGTGAATGCAAAGAAAAGAAAAGAAAAGGGCTTTCTCTGTGGCAGCACCCCATCTCTGGAATGACTTACTACCAGAGGTACATTTGGCATCAGTGCTGATGCCATTCCATAGGCAACTAAAGATGTGCCTCTCTGTGCAAGCATTTTGAAGAAGTTTGGGGTTTTTTGTTCAGGATATGCTAGCTGTGTATTAGATTTTACTGTTTCCATTCTAGTTTTGATGAAAGCTTTGATATATATTGGTTAGGATCCAGTTTTAGATCATGTTTGGTGTTTTAATTCATGGTTAGGTTACTGGAGGCTGCCTGGTTGACATTGACACATGCCAAGGCCTTCTCAGTGATGGTTCCCCTTTTGTGGGAATGCCTCCCCCTCATCTGTCTCCTTCATTGTTGACTTTCAGGAGGAAATTAAAAACAACCCTGTTTACCCAGGAATTTAATGGGTAAACTGTTGCTAGCAACCCTAAAATTATTGACACAGGGAATGTGAGGGTTTTTAGAATATAACTGTTTGGGGAATGTTTTAAATGGTATTGCTATTGATGTGTTTGCTGCCCTGGGCTCCTCTGGTAGGAAGGGCAGGTTATAAATTGAATAAATAAATATTATTATATGTAATATGCCTTGGGGCTATCAGTGAAGAACGGGCTTATAATTGAATAAATCAAAACAAAACATCAGGGTCATGAGGCATAAAGATCTCACTATACCATTTCCCCAGTGTGTTTTTTTCTTAAAGGAATATGCCCTTTTCCACCCCAGGTGATGTCCTCAGATATCAGGACAAATGAACTTTATCTAAGGTGGGAGTGGGGGAAATTGTAGCTCTCCAGATTTTGCGGAACTATATCACTGGAACATTGGAAGCTGCCTTATAACAAGTCGGTCCATTGGTCCATCTAACTCAGTACTGTCCATGTTGACTGGCAGTGGCTCTCCAGGGTTTTGAAAGGGGACATTCCAAGCCTTACCTGAAGGTGCCAGGGTTTGAATCATGGACATTCTGCAAGGTCTACAACTCAGCTGCACCCTTCACTAATACCCACCAAACATACCACCAAAGGATGATGATCAACTCCCATATCTCTGAGGTTACATGTGAAGGGGTCAGACACCTAGCTTACTTAGTGTGATTAAGTTATACACAGTGTGATAAGTTATTACATTTCCAGCTCCAATCTTTTCCTCCTAATTCACAGGCAGAGCTCTAGCAGGATATAACATGATTTTTGAAAGGCTAAACCTGCTGACAGATGGTTTACCTTTCTGCTCATCATTTCTACCTTATATCATATGAATCTGGTCTTAGTTTCCATAGAATCTTTTAAAGTGAAGATCGCGTTCTTCTCCTATAGTTGAAATAAATAAATAAATAAATAAATAAATAAATAAATAAATAAATGCCAAGGAGAAGCTGAAGCTGTTTCGGCAACAGCACATGTGTAATTTGCCAGCTAAAACTCACATTTTTCCTACTTGAAAATAAATAAATTGCCATTAAATCAATATTGACTATTATATTTAATTTGGGAAAGTGGGTATATGATCTGTGGGATCTGGTTGCCCATTTGTTTTTGATTTAAAGTAGAAGTTGTTCAGACTGAAATAAAATTCAGAAGCTGAAATGCGGGGGGGTTTTTTAATGATCCTAACCAAAAGGCCTCAGTAAGAATAGAAGGAACACAATCCACCTTTAAAATAATTTCAATCAGCAGTAAGTTCTGGAAAAAGAGCCAGCAGGGGATAGTTGCCAAATTACTCCCACCAAGCCAGCCAATCAGGAGTTGGTGAAGGAATCCAGTTATATATTTGTGCTTTCTGTCTGTGTTGCTGTATGTCTGATCTCCTGGATTCATTTTATGCCACAGGGGTGGTGTGGTGCCACTGCTAATAATGCCAGAGTGGAAATATCACACAACCACTATGTGATTACATTGCAGGCCACAGTTCTGTAACCTTGGAAGTGGAACATACTTACATGGCAAGTGACCATATCATTGTCTCCTTTCCAGTAGCAGATGATGTGGTGGGGTGGAGGTGCCTTCCTGACACCAGAAGGTTGCAGCTTACCTTGATGGGGACAGGGTGGTGGGTACACTGAAGTATTATCAGAATCGCTGTGTTGCCTTCACAAGTGCAGCCATGCAGCCCTATTTTCATCATCACTCTGCCCCATCCTGAAAGCTGCACAAATGCAGCTTTGGGGAGCACTGTTGGAGAGTCACAGTGCCTGCTGTGGCTGTAGAGACCAATACGGGTGAGACATGTTTTATTGCAGCTGGGGTAGATGAAGGCATCTGGTTTCGCAACTATAGGTGCACCATGGAGTTTCTTCTCTGTGTGCTCCTCCCAGTGGTCATTGCTCCTCTGTTCATTGCTCCTCTGGTCACTACTGTGGATATACGACCTGACTGTCTGTCTCCAGGCACTGCACTTGTTTGCAAGGGATTCCCATATGGTGGGGTTAATATTGCCAGCCTTCATGTCATGTTTGCAGACAACTTTGTAACTTAGAATTGGTCTGCCACAGGCCGAGTGCCTGAAGCCTGCTCCTTGTAGAGCGCATCCTTGAGGATCTTGTCATCTTCCATTCTATGTATGTGTTATTCAAACCATATTTTGACATATGATTAAGTGTGCCAAGCTTCTCTGTGTTATGCAGCACACAATGCACAAATGACAATCAGAAAACTAAGTATATCTGTGCCACAGACCTCTTACAAGGTGTAAACATGTTGTCAGTTGAATCCTTGAGAGCCAGTGTGGTGTAGTGGTTAAGAGCGGTAGTCTCGTTATCTGGGGAACCGGGTTTGCGTCTCTGCTCCTCCACATGCAGCTGCTGGGTGACCTTGGGCTAGTCACACTTCTTTGAAGTTTCTCAGCCTCACTCACCTCACAGAGTGTTTGTTGTGGGGGAGGAAGGGAAAGGAGAATGTTAGCCGCTTTGAGATAGTGATAAAGCGGGATAACAAATTCAAACTCTTCTTCTTCTTCTTCCTTATGATAGAAATTTCTACTGAACTTCTGCTTGAATTTTGTTCAATATTATGGACTTCATTTCCATAACCTGTGGTGTGAACTAGGCATGACAATGAATGTGGGATCCCTGCCCCAAAAGGCAAGTCAGGCTTCCCCTCTTATGACAAGGATCGTATTGTGAGAAACATTTCTCCGGCATCCTACCCACAACCCTAGCATCAGCCAGTGATGTGAACTGAAGAGAGACACATGGTTTGATTATGTTACCATAGTATGGAAGTATCCCAAGATTGGGTATCCCAGGGTTGAATAACTCTGCTTTATTGTACTGATATTCTCAACAGGAAGCAAGAACCAGGGCTCTTCCTGAGATAAAAGCAGCAGTTCTTAAAGCAAAGGGGGAGACCTTGACGTAAAAGGAAGAAAGGCAAGGGCATGTTAGCTTTTCAAGAGGTATCTGGGAGCCACTGCAGGAGACAGAATGCTGGACTTGATATGCCTTTGGCCTAATCCAGAGCTGCTTGTCAAGTTTTTTGTTATGTTTATGAGGAGCTGGCCTACACGATGTGACAAGGTTATAAAATAATATACAGTGGTACCTCAGGTTAAGTACTTAATTCGTTCTGGAGGTCTGTACTTAACCTGAAACTGTTCTTAACCTGAAGCACCACTTTAGCTAATGGGGCCTCCTGCTGCTGCCGCGCTGCCGGAGCACAATTTCTGTTCTCATCCTGAAGCAAAGTTCTTAACCTGAAGCAATATTTCTGGGTTAGCGGAGTCTGTAACCTGAAGCGTATGTAACCTGAAGCGTATGTAACCCGAGGTACCACTGTATAAAGTAGATAAATTCAGAAAAAGAGCACTATACTTCTGTGGGTGTTTTTCTTCTTCAAGTGAAGCACCAACATTCAGTGATCGAATTACTTCAGATATTTCATAGTTTTAGCATCAGGGAGGTCTGTTATGACAACACAGAGATTTATCTAATCTAGGAAGATCAGGTCCCTGAATTTACTTTCTTAGGTATTTATAATGTGCTAGCCATCATAGTGCTAAGCACAGATGTGTTTGCTTTTCCTTGTATGGGCCTTTGTACTTGATATAATCATAGGGAAATGTTTCTTCTTGATGTACATGTTGTGCACTTTGGTGGGCTTTCAGCTGGCATGTTTTCAGCTATGCCCCACAAAAGTCACAATGGTGACGGTATGCTTTATGCTTCAACCGTCTGAAGCAATCAGCAATTGTTCTAAGCAATTCCCAAGTCCTGACAAAACGAGGTTACAGCTAGTATACGTCCATTGACATATATATTGTGCAAGAGATACAAGAGGCACTGAAGTCAACAATAATATCAAAATATATGCAGTTTTCATGGCAAATCTGGAAAAAAGTGGAGGAGAACCTAGGAAAGGGATGAAGACCAAACCATGGTCATACTAAAGGTGGTCCAGATGGCCTATCATACCCCAGTGTGTGTCACACAGGAATTACAGTATGTCAGGCATTTATTCCGTGTAGTTGTAATTACTTGGAGGAGCAGAATGAGGTTGTTCCACCATTATGCCTTTCACATCCCTTTCCTCCCCCTTCCCAAACCATTCATTGAAGAGATCATCTAGAAAGGATATGGTCTCCTCCTGGCTGAGAATGCTCATCATGCAGTATCCCCAACCTTTTCCAGATGTCAACCTCGAAAGAAGGCAAGATCTGGGCCTGGAAAGGGATGCAGGGGCAGAGTGCTGCCCCACCACCATGGAATTATAATTACACAGAGGGAATATCTGATGTGCCTTTTGTATGTCAGTACTAGAAGGTGCAGTCAACAAATACTTTGTGCTACCATATTGCCAGATAGAAGGAATTCCTCCTATTTATGAAATCTTACTTAACAAATGTTGTCCCATGTTGAAAGCTGATCATGTGGTGTGGGCACTTCCCTTTCAGAACCTAGAACTTTTACCGTATCACAAGTCACATTTAGGTGGCTGGTGTGATTAAAATTAGAGGTTCTGAGTGATGAGCATCTTTAGGTGAATGGTTCACCAACAGAGGAACCCATTTCTGGTCAGTTTTAAGGCATTCCCTCACCCACTTGATCATATTGACTAGCCTTAGTTAAGTCAGAAAAAGCTATGAACCACTGCCCTGAGGTAGTCACTCATAGGATGTGGTGAGTTTTAGAATCTGTCCCAAAGCATTGTCTGGAGGCACATGATGCAGCTGTCTTGTCAAAGCAACATATTTCTGGGTGTGGGTAATGTCTGGATGGAAGACCATCTGGGGACCAACTGTCTGCAGTCTTGATTTCCATGGTGGAAGAAAGCTGGATGCAAGTGTGCTAAATATATAAAAATAAAAAATTGGCACATGAACTACCTTTGGTGCTTCATACCATTGGTTTTCCATGTACCACTGCTAAACCTCAGGTCCTGTTTGTGGACTTCCCATAGCCATCTGGTTGGCCACCGTGAGAACTAGATGGCCTGATCCAACAAGGCTCTTATTATGTTCTCTTCATGGCACACAGTGCCATACACTTTCCATTCAACAGTGGAAGAGAGAATGGAGGATCTCTTCCTTCAGCTTGTGTGGCATCCTTTGGCCTTTTGCTGCATTGGAGGAATGGAAAGCAAAGCAAAGCAGTTACATTAGCCAAATACTTTTTTAAGAAGTGTGATGGAGCTAGCCACTTCCATCCTGCTTCCCAAGTATAATATTTGAGCTTCAGCTGGAGCACTGCAGCTTACATCACTGCAACTCAAGCCAGCCTACAAGACCAGATTATTTCTTTCTAAGGATGAAGATTGTACTTCTAGGCCTGTGATGTGTACAGTGACAGGTGCTATTAGATTTTATGAAAGACTCCTTGCTACAAGGAAAATCAATGACCTTGTTGTTAAAGGACAGCACTTAATTCTCTGAAATGCTTTTTCTTCTTTGTCCCCTGCTCATTGGTTGAGCACATGCCATGCATGTAAAAGTTCCCAGATCCATTCAGCCTGTGGCATCTCCACAATGGGCTGAGTCCTCTCTGAAACCCCAGAGAGCTGTTCCCAGACAGCATAGGTGCTGAGTTAAATGCACCAGTAGTCTGACTCTGTATGAGGTGGCTTCCTGTATTCCTCCCTTCTTTGGCAAATATTAGGGGGGGGAAATAATAATAATAGTGTCATATACATGGTTTCCCTTTAGCAATTAGGATGTGAAATATGAGATATGATTTTTAACAGTGTGTGCATGTGAAGCATTTTTCAGGATACAGCCATAATCTTCTGAACTTCCCTGTCCAATTTCAGATAGTGTTTACTGGTAGGCACACAGACTAAACCTTGGACACTTTTAAAGGACTGGTAAGGAAAAAATCTTCTAGATTTGTTCAAATTCAGAGAAATCTAATTTGATTAGCTTCATTTTTTGCCCCTAAACTTTATCTGCAATATGCACTTGGAGAGATGGTTAGTGTTGCTACAATCATTCTTTAGCATCTGTTTTCTCATAAACTTAAGCTCTTTAAAGTGGGTGTAAACAAGCCTTAAACTTCAAATGCAAGCCACCCAAGAGATTACACAAAATAATAAAAGATTGTTAACAAACTTAGTATGGAACAGCACAAAATTATGACCAGTAGACAAACATATTCAAGGACCAGGTCAAATGTCTGGAAAAATGGGATAGACAGACTTCTGCTTGCAGCATTAACCTTTTGTTACAAAGCAGTCCACTCATGCAACTTCTTTTCATGGTGAATAAGTCCTCTCTCTCTCTCTCTCTATATATATATATATACTTAAGATTTTTCATGGTTTATGTAGCATGGTTTATGTAGCAAAGGTAATCCATATTTTCCATTTGGATAAAGAGTGCAGGATTTGGTCCCAGTGTTCAACAGGCCCCACAAAAAATTATAATTCCTGCATTTAAGCAGAAGCATGAAATAGACCCGGAGCAAATAGATAACTATTACATCCTAACTTATTAGCACCAAGTCAGAGTTTTCTCTCTGAGTCTAGTTATAGGATAGACTAGAACTACTGGACTTATCAGAACTATGGCATCATTTGAAAGCCCATACCATAAGTATATTCATGAATTCCCCAAATAATTTAGCTCAAAGTTGTCCATGGTCCTGCAAATTCATAATTGGTGGTTTTTCTGTCTGGCCCAAGACTTGCAGAGTCCTCTGTGACTTCAGAAAAACTAAAGCAGTGGCAATCAAAGGCTATGACAGCTGGGATCTGCAAAAGGCTCTTTGATGTCACAGAGAACCTTGAAGGCCTTGCTGACTTACCTGCAAGAGTATTAGAAGCCCACTCTGACATCAGAGCAGCTCATCATCCCAAGGCATTAAGTGAGTCAGAACAAGAAAAGAAAAAAGAAATGGTAGCAAAGAGATTCAGCATAACACTAAGCCAAACTGTGAATTAGCACAAGCAAGCAAATGTGTGGGTTCATGGAGTGAAGATCATGGTTGCAGTCCGCCCCCAGTCCTGTTATTGCCTCACAACCTGGAGCTACGCTACTGTTGGGCTTAGCATTATATCTGAACCTGGGCTCATGGTTTTTCTCCTCCAAGAGCAAACTTTTATTACAGTTTTTGGTTTGTCTGGAGCTACATCTGTACTGGGGGATGAGTGCTTCAGCTTCAATCTTCATTCTAGGAACCCACACATTTGCTCATTCACCCATATTTGGTCAAAATGTTGGTCAATGCATTTATTCTTCACAAACAGCTAAGGTAGCAATAAAAGCACAAAGTGTTCCATTTTCCACAACTAGAGTGGCCCCATTCAAGGAATGGGCCCTAGACTGTGGCCATAACACTTGTTCAAACTGTATTTTCTTCCACATTTTGTTAGTTTTATAGTTTGGACATACTGTACATATGACAGAAAAGACTCCCGGTATTTCAGATTCACTGTATACCCTTTCAGCTACTATACCATGCACAACCATATGTAAATATCAGTTCTTTTAAATAAAACATCCTTCATGTGTGAATAATTTGGAAATATGCACAGGAATACAGCTAAAAGAATTTGCAATGCAGAGCCTAAACATTCAGTAATATCACCTGAATGGAGTAACATTTACAGTTATCTAAACTAAATTCTACTTCATATATTGCAACAATTCAAATTTTATTTATCCATGTATTGCATTTCTCATTTATTCCTTAACTATGAAGAAACCTATAAACCACCTTCTGGTGTATTCATTTAGTCTTCTCTTTGTAAAAACAAAAACAAAAAAAGGATGGCTATTCACAGAAAAGAGAAAGAATTATTTGATTAGCAACTGGGATCTATTGTGCATATAGCAAAGCTGTGGTTCCCATCAGATAAATAGTTTTTGAATTCCACAACCAACTCTGAAAACAGGTTCCATACTGCTTTCTTCAAAGAATTTACATTTCCAGTAAGCAGCCTGAGAAGCAGTCTAAAACTGGTGAAGTCTCTGTTAAATAGTAATACTCCTTGAAGAGTGTAACAAAGCTGGACAGCTCGTGTTTCCCAGTATCTGAACTTTACTAAGTTCGTTGAATAAGTATTTGCTGCTCCACACCTGCCACTTACCTCTTCAGCCTCTCTTCTTGAGTGCTTTTCAGCCAACTGAGGCCATGTCTGTTATTGGACTTTGGCCTATTATTTATTAATTCTATTTATAACTCTTCACCAATTGGTTCCAGGGCAGGATACCTACAATGTAAAAGTAACAATCAAGCTTAAGAGTAAAGCTTGTTTGTGCAAAATATATATTAAAAGGACAATTCCTGGATGCGAAGATTCAAGTTTGGGGCATTAACTATTTCAGTACATGGTCAGCTGTGAATTTGCTGTGTGTCATGGGCTAATACTTGCATAAATCAACCCTAAACTGCTTGTTAATATGGGGGAGGCGATGTTCTTCCACTAGTCTTATCCACTAAATTGTTTTCCTTCTGAGGATATGTGCAGCAAAAAAACATATTGCTCATAAGCTACTTCTGGAAGACTCAAGGAAAGAAATTGCTCTTGACAAAAATCATGTCCGATTCAGGAAATGTGTGGTTCAGCCACTTGGTAGCAATGACCATAATGTAATTAAATTTGGCATCCTCCCATGGGGATCATAACATAAACCAATAATTTCACAGGAAACTTCATTTTTTTAATAATACGGAAACCAGAAATAGCCTAAAGGGGAAAGTTAGGAAATTAAAATCTATATGATCAGAACAGAGGCTGCTTAAAGATACCCACTTAAGTATGAAAATTTCTGGAATGTGAATAAAATAAAAAGGTGTTACAGCAAGGTGGATGAGATTATTAAGACCGTACACATTGTATCTGGAAAACCATTTTAATTCTTAATTAGGCTGTAAACTTACTGTAAAATGTAACAGCAATATCGTACTGTCATTGAACTAGCCTGCAGTGTTGAAAATAAAGTTAAATACTTGAGGATTTTAAAAAAGGGAAAGGGTCAAATAACTAACAATTGGTATAATGACTAGAGCACAGTCGTTATACATTATACAGTGGTATCTCGGGTTACAGATGCTTCAGTTTACAGACTCCACTAACCCAGAAATAGTACCTCGGGTTAAGAACTTTGCTTCAGGATGAGAACAGAAATCATGCGGCGGCATCGTGGTACCTCGGGTTAAGAACAGTTTCAGGTTAACAACAGGAAGATTTAAAGGAACTATTGGAAACTCAAGGCAGTAGAGATATGAGATGATCAGAGCCCCCCAAACTTGAAGCATGGGAAGTCCCAATAAAAATTTATAATTTGGCAGAATATTTGGACTATATGATATGTATTTGTATAATTTGGAATATTTAATGTGATTTGATTGGATTGTTAAAATGGAAAATTTAATAAAAAATTATTATTATTATTATTATTATTAAAAGAACAGTTTCAGGTTAAGAACGGACCTCCAGAATGAATTAAGTTCTTAACCCGAGGTACCACTGTACATGCTAGAACACAGCAAGCTGACATATTCACAACCAGTGGGATGTAGTTAGGGTTAAGAGCATAAGAATAGCCTACTGGATCAGGCCAATGGCCCATCTATCCCAGCAACCCGTTCTCACGGTGACCAACCAGATGCCAATGGGAAACCAGCAAACAGAACATGAGCAACTGGTATTCAGAAGCATTATTGCCTGTAGCTGTGGAGGTAGAGCATAACCATCATGTCTAGTGATTGATAGCCCTTTCCTCCATGAATTTGTCTAATCCTTTTTTTAAAGCAATTGAAGTTGATGACCATCACTGCCTCCTGGGGCAGCAAGTTCCACAGTTTGACTATGCACTGCATGAAGAAGCATTTTATCTGTCCTGAATGTTACAACAATAAGGTTGTAAGGTGAAGCTACCAACATGAGTTTGACCAAACTGCAGGAGGCAGTGGAAGACAGGAGTGCCTGGCGTGCTCTGGTCCATGGGGACACAAAGAGTCGGACACAACTAAACGACTAAACAACAACAAAGTGAGAAGTGTGGTATGCTTAGCTACAGTGCTAACTTTGACCATGGGAAACTCAGGTTCTAATCAACCATAGGGCTAAGCCAAATAATAGCAGTATCAATAGTAATGATAGCAGTAGTAGCAGTAATACTGAAAACCTCAAGAAATCTTCACTATGGCTGGATGCAGTCCATCAACACAGATGAACATTTGGTTAATTTTTATGTCTAAGTTTCTCTTATTCTGAGTATGTAATAGTTTTGTGTGGTCATACAGTTTGCTTCAGGCATCAGACTTCTAAACAACGCTGTTCTTTTATTATTTCATTTATTGGATTTGCCAAAGTGCCAATGCGACAGATGCCCAGAGAAGTTAACATGAAATGAAACAAATGTTACAACTGACCTTATTTAATTAATGGTGTTATAAAGTTCACTGACCTCTTTAAGAAAAAAAACAGTGAAAAACACGGGTGCTTGTTTGAAGGAGACCAACCCTCACAAGGCAAGGAATCCATGCTTGAGTTTACTGGAGTGGATTTCTCCTTCATCCCTAGTGAAGACTTCCCAACTGTTATCAGATTTCAGCCATATAACCATTCATTATGCCCATATACATATGACTTAATGAAGATCAGGGCAGCATGTAGATAAATCATAAGGGACTGAAGAAAACCTTTGGTTTTTCTTGGTAATGGAATGGTTTAATATAATAAATAAAAACATTAAACAATATATGGGAAGCATTATTGCTTTTGTTTGTTACTGTGTTAAGTATTTTTGTGTTTTTATATTGTAGACTGCCCTGTGACCCTCGAATGAATGGCAGTATGGAAATTTAATAAATAACATAAATAAACCGTTTGCTTTAATCATTATGGCATACATTCGATTTTCTATAATCTGCATGTGCTGTTATATCTAAAGGTGCCCTTCTGCATGTGGAAAGTATGTTCCACTCATAGATGCAGTGCTTCCCACTGTGTGAAACAAATTAAATGAATCTCAAAGTATATTCTTATGCCTGTGTAATCTCTTGCACCAGTGGAAATGTGAGTACTATTATAGAACCTGCCAATTAGAGCACTGTGTAAACCTTTTGTCATATATTTGTGGAACTGCACTAATTTTCTTTCCACTCGTCATTCTTTGGAGCCAGTTCAGTCCCCCCCCCCCGCCACCTTGGTTTATCAGTTTTAAGAACATAAGAAATGTGAAGGAGTATTTCTGCAGTTATATACAGAGGAAGTTATTATATTGCTTTTTAACGAATGCTTAGGCAGTTTCAGACATGGTCCCCTGGTTACAATTAAGTTACTTGTTTATATATATATATATATTACCTACTATTTTAAAAAGTAGCTATTGTTGTTTGCATTTCTAGAAACTGTTATTCCCCTTCCTTTCCCCTTTGTTAAAATTAAGTTATTTTTCAAGTTTAGTACTTTGTAACATGTTTGCCTCGTGGTCAAGCAAAATTGCTGTTCTTGTTAATTCTGCCCACTTCCAAGAGGGCTTCCAGTATAGGACATGATTCCTGCCCCCCAAATTTATCCTCACAGCAAGCCTAGGTTAAGCTAAGTGATGCTAACTGGCCTCAAGCATTGTAAACACTGGGAACAAGCAGAGATTTGAACCAGGGTCTTCCCAAGCTAAGTCAGGCAGTATAACCACTTCACCACATGAGCCCTCTGTAATAGCCAAAATATCTGAATGGGAACTGGCCATCTTTGACTTGAAAAATGCATCTGTCCAGTGTCCTGAAGGACCCATCTCTGGCCACCATACCTTTGATGTTTGTCCCAGCTTATTGGTCTTCTGCTCTCACTGTGCACTCCAAACTACTGCCACACCCACCTCCTCTGTGGTCTAATCCTCACCAGGTCTGACAAATGTTCTGCTCAGTTGGGGAGAGCAGATCGTACTAAGTCAACATTTATTTAGGGTGATGTGGTGACTGTCTCCAAGTGCCATATCTTCTCCCAGATACAGATAGCCTGGGTACACACTGGCTCTTGTGACTCTTGTCTCTTGGGTAGTGCATGGGAAGGCAGTGCACTTTTTCTCCTTGGCATTATTCAGTGCTTTTTTCCTGGGGGTTCGCAGGGGTACGCATATCCCTAAACATTTTGTGAATCTTTGTACTTTTGTCCATTTACTGTATTTATTTTCCCCAATTTGAACTATAAAATGGTGGTTTTCTTGAGTCAAAATGTGCTCTAAACATTATTATTTTTTAAGAAAAAAAACACTGGCATTATTAGTAAAGAGAATTAGCTGTCTCTGGATCTTCTTTGTAGCTGAAATTGAAGAAGGCTTCCTAGTCATCACATTCAGAAGCACCCAGGCAAATGTTGGTGCTGATATAAACTGGGGTTGCATTCTGCCTCCCATTGAAAAAAAAAGCCTGAACCACAAGCAAATTCCTCATTCACATGTATATTTTAATCGTACTAATGAAACTTTTGAGAGCCTTTCCAGACACTCATTTTCTTCTGGGCAGACATCATGGATTCCCACAGATTATATTAGTTTTGTTCACATTGAATAGCCAGCATTCACCTCACACTGGCATTAAACTCTGAATGAAATCACATGAATGGACATTCCCTGGGGAACTGGGCATCATCCTACAATGTTACTTGAAATGACCAAGATTTTCTGGAAACAGATGTTTATGAATGGACATCATAAATGTTGCATACTGATTTTTCAGTACAGATTCAACAGTTCTGCAAAGATCAGGCTCTTTGACTTTTCTCAAAAAACAATCATGACTTCTTCTCTATCAGATTCTAAAAAATAATTTTAAAAATTGTACGCCACAGCATACCTCCGATAAGCTTGGTTACATCAGTATTTTGTAGTTAGGCCCATAATTGTGATCAAGCATTGTGTATGGGAATTTTTTTGTTTAGAGATGATGAATTTCCTAGGAAATGAGCTTTATTCATATTATCTGGACTCTGTTTTCTTTATGTAGCTATGGATTACTTTAACACAGGATGGAGTCCTTAATTTGTAACACATGATTAAGTTTTTATAAATTGCTACATTGTATCTGTATCATTCCTGGTCTGGTGTGTGTACGTATGTTTTAACAAAGATGGCTTAACATAAGACAGATTTTTGTTAATGGAATCCATTCCACCCAGAAGGTGTTCTTTACAACAAACAGGAAACACTGCTATATATAACACAAGGTCTGAGCAATGGAAAGATACATTGATGATGTCACTTATTGTAAATATTATTTGTACCTGCTAGTTTATTTCAGGGGAAATTAGGAGAGTGACATCATAATGATGGCTGACTTTTATTAATGCTCGCTCTCCCTTGCTCTCATTCATTCCTAGATTGTAAATTGTTATAAAGGGAAGAAGCAGCCTTAAAAATTCTGTCCCTCTTATCTTTGTTGTGAAGATTGTTTGTACAAAACATACAGTTGATATCACTAGCTCTGTTATTCTTGCCATTAGCTTTCATGTAACTCAATTTTGATATACAGTTAAATGATTTGTCATGGAAAGCAGGATGTGATCTAAGCCAAGGGACAAACAAGATGTGCTGTTGGAGATGAATGAAGTCTCTTGACATTTAGGGGGTGAGGATTGGTGGGTTGTTGTTTTCTTACTGACTTACAACTTGGGAGGCAGCAAGTTGGAGTTCTGACAGCTTGCCCAAGCCCCTGCCCACCCCCCATGGATCCAGCCTATGTGGTTCTGCCCTAGTTGTACTTCCCAGTCCTTTCTTCATAGTTGCATGTGTAAGAAGTAGATATACAGAAGGGCAAACCATGGATATTGCTTTTGCTGGACTGGTGCAACTAATTTCAGTTATTATTCTATTTTTCCCCACTCTCAACTTTACATTTAGGGTAGGCTGTAAATGAAGTAAAGATATCAATTCTCAGTTTTTAAAATTAGCATATAAGCAGACTGGCATTTCCTCAGCATTAACTAAAATTTGATCATTATGAACCATTTGCCTGTCCATTAAAAGATATGCGTTTAATAGAGCTCTAGATTATATAATTTACTATTGGCCCAGTATTCTGTATTTTGTAAAGGGGGTCATAGGAATTGAACTTTATATGTTATTCTAGTAACTTATACCTTTTAAATTGTTGATATGATATGTTGTATAAATAGAAATTTTATAAATCTCTTTAAAATGTGTCTTTAAAAAAAAAGTATGACCTTTAAGTCACAACAATCTGTTACATAACTCGGCAAGGGAAGTCACATGGTCGTAACCTCATATTTCCTTAAATTTATGGTTGTTTCTTGGTGGTCCAAAACACATTTTAAAAAGTTCCCTTTCATAGTAGTAATCTTACTAAATTGTTTAATGTTTAATGTTTGCTCTAATAAAGGTCAGCACAAGTTCTTATTTAGATTTACAATGGGAAATATAAAATCTCAGATACCAATGAAACCTCAAGCAATGAAGTCAGGGATTTCCAGTGTTATGTTTCATTCTAATGATGCGAAGATAATGCCTTTAGCTGCATGACCACTATATTAGCTACAGACCATAAAATAATCTTTATGGAAACAAGGAGTCAGAAACCACGTATTTCTTACTCCAGCCAAGCATTCTCATCATTAGTAATATTTGGTTGGTAAAATCCCCCAACCATTTCAGTATCTCCTTCCTTCCTGCCTGCCTGCCTGCCTGCCTGCCTGCATCAAAATATGAGGGTGTGTAACAAAAAGAGAGCAATCATTGTGGCATGTTTTCCTGCTCTTGGATCATAGAAATATATAGAACAGCCTGATGCTAGGACCGGTGGTACCCAGAAAAAACACTTTGGGTTGTACAAAACATGATATGACACTTCTGCTGCAGGAAATTTTACAGGTGTTGCAGGCAGATGTAGTGTGGAGTAGATGAAGGCAGATGAAGGTATTTGGTTGTGCTGCTGCAGATGCACCAGGGTGTTTCTTCTCTCTGTGGTTGTTTCTCTTCGGCTCACTACTGTGGATATACAACCTGTCTGTCTGTCTCCAGGCTGTCTCCTGTCTGTCTGTCTGTCTCATCTGCAAGGGTGATGACCCCACACGGCAGGGTTGAGGTTGCCACAAATAGGTTTATTGAAAATATGGGCCAAGTGGATCCATATAAGTGGTAAAAATGACCATATGATGGCTTTACAATGGCCATGATGCAAAGTTCTGCATGCTATTTCCAAACATGCATCAGAGATTTTTCAGTTCTCTCCCCGCCCATTTCTAACAGCAGCTCCCTTTGCCCCTAAAACGCTCTCCCCAAATTAGGACAATGAACCCTCTGGAGTAGCATCCCACAAGGCATTATCCACAAAAGTACATTGTGCATCCATCCAGGTTGCTCTTATCCCAGACTTGCAACTCAACCTGCATTTTTCATGCTGCAGCAATGTGTGCCAAAAGACATGGCAGCTTCAAATTTTTATGGGCCATAGTGACTTCCAGCTTCATTCATGCATTCATTTTATATAAGAGTGTTTATATACTGCCATCTCATAAAATATCAGGGCAGTGTACATCAATTTAAAAGCATTAAATAAAAATTAAAAGCAGTACAAAACAATTCTTAAAATGACTAGCTACTCAAGAAAATTTCAAACAGCTACATAAGCCTATCTTCAAGGTTCACTTGAATGCCAAAAGCGATGTTGCCTGCTGAATCTCTGCTGGAAGTGTGTCTCACAGCATGGGACTGGCGACACTAAGTGGTCGATTTTTGGTTAAGTTCATTTGGCATCTTTAACATGGGGGATAACTATCAGTGCTCCTCCGGATGATCTCACTTGGTTATGTAAACAGTGGCTCCCTGGGTGAATCTCAGCACACTGAGCTTCTTCCACTTGATCACAACCACTTGAAAAGCAACTTTGCTACAGAGTGTCAACAACCAATTCCTCTTGAATTTGTTGTGAAGAAGCATGCTTGATGTTGGCCCAAAAGGTCACATCCATAGAACAGATGCTTATCCGTTGCATAGCAAATATAGGTTGAATTTTGAGTTGGGAACATGATGAAGCAATTGCAGCTTAAATATTCTCAACATAGCTATTTGAATTATGCATTGGCTGTTGAGAACACGCAGACTGCATTCATAACAGGTGGCTATTTTCACTATAGAAAAGTTTAAGATATAAACATTCACCTGGGAATTGGCAGTATTTTTTCCCTATTTTTTCAAACAGTAGTGTTATGAAAAGCTAAAGTCAAAAGGTTATTAAATGGTCAGTAGTGGCTAGCTTATTAAATAGCCATCATTATCCCATGTTGCTATAACATCATTAAACCAATGTTGCTAAAACTGGGCATCAATGCACTTTAATTCAAATTAGATCTTCAGACTATAGCAGCTCTTCATGACGCCATTCGGGGAAATTGGCAGGGCTGGAGATCACAAGGAATGAATGAAATGCATGTATTGTATAAACATAATGTGCAAATATGAGTTCAAATGGAATACACGGCAGTGACCTCAGATATTAGGTTCAGGATAATCACAGTTCAGATAACTGGTGTTCCATTATACTTTGCGTAAGGATACTGAAATCAACATATCATGGCAACTTGGCAGCAGCTGCGGATTGTTTTTGTTTATGAACTTAGAAAGAGGATGGATGGTTTACCAAACCTTTCATCCTAGATGCTGCTAATTGAATGAGCACTTATGAGGCCATTGAAAGTGCAATGTAATTAACTGTTGCTGGGATCCAAAGAACCATACTGGGAATGCAGTGGGGACTTTCTGAAAGCAGCTCTCCATGTTACTAAAAAAACAAACAAACCAGCAACCAAAACCCAGTGGAAGTCCAACAATGGTCTCTGATGGTGGCCTCTAATTTAACATAAAGAGGGGGGAATCATGGGGGAAACAAGGGGTTCCATGGTACTTGCAAGGAGGTCCTGCATGTTCCTAATGGGTTTTCTTGATCTTGACCCATGTCTTTGATTTCAATGGGAGTTGAAGGAGCTTAACTTTGCATTAACTTTGCATTTTTGCACCCAGTTGCATATAACAGATTGGAGTTGGTTATGCCTAAAATAGACCCATTGATATCAGTGGGATTTAAGTTATGTCTTTATAAGCTTTAGCCCCATTGATTTCAGTGGGGATATTCTATGCATAGCCAAGTCTGGATCCAACCCAAAGTTGCAGAAACTCTGAAATGTACTGATATTGCTAAGTCAGCAATAATAACAGAATTTCACCTCAGAGGTCACAATCTGACACAGGATAAGGCATGTTTCAGCCCATTGATTTAAATGGGTCTAGTTGAGGCAAGAGTCTAGCTCCAGTTCAAGAGTAAAGAACTGATGTAATTGTGCCATTAATGAAAATTGTTTTCATGCTGTAGCTTTTCTTCTTGAAATCATTATAGAATTTCACAACCTGCAATCTATAAGTTAACCTGTATTTATTTTAAAGGGCATAAAAACAAATTTCAAGTTATGCAGATTGTACAATTTTGTTTGCCAAAATGAAAGCTTGCATTCTGGCCCATTGTACAAACAAGAAAAAGCACCCTGAAACAGAATAGTGTAAAAATATTCATATACAAAGTCTTCATGTCCTATTATAAATGATAATATAAATGATATACAAGCACAGTCTCCACATACAGAAGTACATTGTATCATATTTTATCATGGATGATTTGTCATATTAAGGAACTGCATTTCAAAATTATTCTTTAAGTACAAGTAGCAAAGAAGAAGAAGAAAATGAACGACAATATATCAAGATCACTAAAGGAAAGAATAAGTTCACCGATAACAATCATTATGGTGCATGCCTATACATGCCTACTCAGAGGTAAACCCCATTGACTTCAATGGAACTTACTCCTTGGTAAGAGAGTATAGGATTGCAGCCTTAAGTATATCATGCTGCAGGAATAACTGGAGTGAGACGGCCTAAGAAGCACCTCATAAACAATAGCATATTTAACTTATGTGTGAAATATTCATTATGTTCAGGAAATTCTTTTCTGATCATACCCCATTCTGTGTATTTTTGAATCTCTGTTTGTATCAATACTTATTAATTAGATATTTTCTGTAGAAAAATACATTTATGCTAGTATGCTTGGAGGGTGCTCTTTTGCATTCTGCACTTCAGAGCTCTGAAAGATCCCCCTCCCTTTCCCTCCCACCCCTCCCTTTTTGGGGTTGGTTTTTTGTGTGTGTGTGTGTTTTTTGCTGCATTTTGTTGCTGGCATTTGTATTGTCACAGTACATGAAACTGATGCTAAACATATAACAGTACTAATCTGTGTGGCATACATAAATAATGAAAGAAAGATGTTTGGGCATTTTCTATTTTTGTTTTTTGAAATAATAAAATCCTTTGCGCTATGGACCCCCGTACAGAATGATGCTTTCATGCAGTGAGAATGGAGGCTGCTTATTACCTACAGTATGCTAGCAATGATGAACAGACCACCATCGTTGTGACAAGTGATGTAGTTGCCTCCAGGGTAAAACAAAGGTTTACATATTACACAAGCAATTTAACTGTTTTCTAAACATATTGCCAAGACAGTGGGAGTTGGCACTGTGTTTCAGGGCTTGGATACTTGGATTTGAAGTGACTGCTGATTATAGACCTTTTTCCTAATTTGCCTTCTGCTTATAACAAGCAACCTAGTAATCCAGGAAAGAATTCTCTACAGCACTTAAACTTGTCTTCATGGCTTCCCAAAGATCTCTCCATAGAAAAGGAGTGAGGAGGCTTGTATACCAATAGCTACACAAAACAATTGTTCTCTTCCGACTCTCAAGGAGCAACAACCGCTGCCGCCCCCCAATTCCCCAAACCGGATGAAATGTTTTATAATCCTTTTTTGTGCCATAGTTAGAAAAGGAAGAAAGAAAAGAAGAAAGGAGGCAGGCAAAGATTACTCACAAGAAAGAAAGAAACTTTTTTTAAGGGGGGGTCCCTCTTCAACACAATAAAGAACATAATTAACTTCACAATTCTTTGTTTTGCTTTTTTCCCCATTTGACTGCAGGGTGGAGATGAAAGAGGGCTCTTAAGCCTTGCATTCCATCCCAATTACAAAAAAAATGGAAAGCTGTATGTGTCCTATACCACCAACCAAGAACGATGGGCCATTGGGCCACATGACCATATTCTTAGGGTTGTAGAATACACCGTGTCCAGGTACGAATTTTGTAAACAGCTTCAGCAGCAAGTCCCCATATACAGTGTACTTCAGCTTAGTTGTGTCATATGCTGGGAATCTGTCAGTCCCCAAGCCCAGTTTTTCTGCTTTTGCATGCCTTGCTTTTAAACAGGTTGCCCCTCATTTACATAGGATCCATCTAGATACTGTCAGTAAACATCCGTGACAGATTTCAATCAAACGCTGCTCAGGCAAGCGGCAAAGTGCAGTGCCTTGCTCTCTTCAATAAATCCTCTTTATTCTATAATGATTAATGCTGTATTATGTTCTATCATGTTATTGTTATTAATTGTTTGTAAGCCACCATGGGATATTTACCTGGATGAAAAGCGGCATAGAAATATAATCAGCCGAACCAATCTTTATTCAAATGTATATCCCAAATAATTTCAAAAAAAATAAACAGTAATGCACATTTTTTGTCTTTGATACAAAATTCTAGTCTTTTGGAAAGATCTGACACATCACTATTTTTGGAATTAAGAAGGTTGACTATTGACTGAGGAATCTGCAACAAAGTCTGACTCCATGCAGGACAATGCTATGCTAACCTACTACTCTTCTGATCTAGCTTATTAGTGCATTTGAGCAACAAAATTCATCTTGATGGTGGTTTCTCAAGTCTTAATATGGCTTAAACTGACCATACCCACTTCCTTTTTTCCTGGACATGAAGGAATGAGGAATGTTAGCCTCAAACTGAGTTGGCAGCCATACTACATGTGACTGACTAGTTACTGGTATGCCTCAGAATGCTCTTTAATGAGATCCCTTTGGAGAGTGGTTCAGCTGTACCTCTCTCTAACGATCCCTTAAAATCCACTATCAATCTATGTCCTCACCACCTACAACTGTGCTGAATAACATTTGTTTATTTATTTCCGTATGTCCCACCCTTTTTCCAAGGACCTTGGGGTGGCATACACATTTTCCCCAAATTTATCCTCACAGCAACCCTATTAAGAGAATAGTGTCTGGTCCATGGTCAGGGAGGAGGAACCCGTGGCTGTTCATATGTTGTTGGACTCCAACTCACATCAGGCACAGGCAGCGTTACTAGCGTTCAGCAATAGCATCCAATATCTGGGGTGCCACAGGTTCCCTAACCCTTCTCTATTATACCACACCGGTTGCCTCTTAATATCAGCAACAAAAACCTGAGATACATTCAGGATGCAAAACCTTTGCCACATGGCAAGCAAAGGAACAAAACAATACCAAAAAAAAACCCCCACGCACTGTTTGATGGCCAGTCACAGTCCACTAAGGAATCATTGGCCCCCAGGCCAATTGAGTGGAAGCTATCATGCCTCACCCATGTTTAAAAGGACCTAGGACAAAGCTTTATTTCAAAAACCATATGTCCCTGCCATTCTGAACTAATGCAAGGATGGTTCTGGGGCAGAGAAGAAACATTTTAAACATAAATTTAATGGAAATATATTATTGAGATTAATTCCACAATCCTTTTTCTGTGCTACAGGAAAAATCCACATCAGGTTGATACGAGAACAGCAAAAGGTTTTCTAGAAGTTGCAGAGCTACACAGAAAACACCTAGGAGGACAGCTGCTGTTTGGCCCTGATGGGTTTTTATACACATTCCTTGGTGATGGGATGATCACTATAGATGATATGGAGGAAATGGATGGTTTGAGGTATAATAATTACCAGTGGATAAAATCTTTCTTATTTATTGTTTCTTTTTCAGCACCACACCCTCTAAAATAATTCTACCATTTAGATGTCCAATACAGATCAGTAATATAATCTTCATCGTTGAAAACATGTGCCAATCCCCCCACTCACTATATTTATACAATTCATGTGCTGATCACTTCAGTGAATGAATTGGAATAGCAAGATGCAGACCACCACAGAAGCATTAATGCTTAATGGAGGAAAATATATTTTATCCATACTGCTCTGTTTATACTGCTCCCCACTCAATATAGCTAAACACAAGTACCAGTCCTCCAAAATGGAGGAACTCATTTGAGCAAATGTGTCCAGTGAAAATCATAGGTGCATGCAGCATGTCATTTCTGTCTTCTAAAGAGGCCAAACTGAGACTTAACAAGTGGAGGCAATTTGGAGCTACGTTATCTCACAGAGTTAGTATGCTGCCTTAAACCCACAGAGATTACCCTTTCATTGGGTAATTTCCTGTTTATTTCACTACTATTTAAATGAATGCTGCCAAGTAAAAATCCTTTTAAAAATCAATTGTGTTATCCTCCAACTTTCTCAGTGATTTTACAGGTTCTGTGTTACGCCTGGATGTAGATACTGATTTCTGCCATGTGCCTTATTCCATACCACGGAGCAACCCACACTTTAACAGCACCAATCAGCCTCCTGAAATTTTTGCCCATGGACTCCACAATCCAGGCAGGTAAGTAGGTTATATTTCTTTTTCAACATGACCATAAACTAACAAGGAGATAAACACACTTTTAAAAATTGAATATTCAGAGACAATCCTTCATCTATGCCCATAGGGAAAGGGAGGAAAAAGACAATAAAATAATTTAACCGAAAGGGTGGGTGGGTGTTTACTTCATGGGGATGTATATTTGGAACAAGGTCTTACAACCGTGAAAGAAGATCCATGTGTTCGTTCGGAAATACTGTATTAGTATGTACATTACATTCCAGTCTACTAAACAAATACCCTGTGGTGAACTGGTGTTGCCATAGGGAGATTAGAGTTTAAATCACTTTGCCAGCCATACATCTAAGCACAACAAGAACATGCTCTATGGAGAGCTGGCTTCAGGCACTAGGCCTGTTAGAAGACCAACTCTTCACTAGAAAGATGTCTACAAACTAGACATGAAGGCTGGCAACATCAACCCTGCTGTGTGGAAATCCCTTGCAAACAACTGCAGTGCCTGGAGACAACCAGTGAGGTTGTCTATCCACAGCAGTGACCAGAGCAGGAAAGACCACTGGGAAGAGCACAGAAAGAAGAAACACCATGATGTGTCTGCAGCAGCACAACTGGATGCCTTCATCTGCCCCAGCTGCAACAAAACATTCTCTTCCTTATTGATCTCTACAGCCATCAGGTGCTGTAACTCTCCAATGGTTTGACTTCACCCCCAAAGGCACACTCTTCAATTGTTTCCCAAGACAGGCGGATGCCGAGCATGAAGTTGTATGAATTTCTTTTGGTTTTTGCACAAATCAGAAACAAGCACTCTGGTCCAGGAATTTTCAAAATGGGTTTTTGTTTCTGTCAAAGGGCTTGTTTTTTTAATTTAGTATAAAATATTCGGGTAGTCCTTAAAGAACACAAGAAGAGCCTGCGGGATCCAACCAATGGCTTAACTAGTCCAGCATCCTGCTCTCACAATGGCCAGCCAAGATGCCCGTGAAAAACCTGCAAGCTGGATTGAGCACAAGAGCACTCTCCCCTCCTGCAGTTCTGAGCAACTGATATTCAGAATTTTTACTGCCTCCAACCTTGAAGGCATAGCATGGCCATCATGACTAGTTGTCATCAGTAGCCCTCTCTATGGATCTGTCTAATTCTCTTATAAAGCCATCTAGGTTGGTGGCCATCACTGCCTCTATGTAACTTATGAATTGCAAATGCTTGATACTCTGACTTTAGTGAAACTAAGTGGATAGCTACATATTACAGTATACATGTAACAGTAAGGTAAAGGTAAAGGGACCCTGACCATTAGGTCCAGTCGTGGCTGGCTCTGGGGTTGCGGCGCTCATCTCGCTTTATTGGCTGAGGGAGCCAGCGTACAGCTTCCAGGTCATGTGGCCAGCATGACTCAGCCACTTCTGGCGAACCAGAGCAGCGCATGGAAACGCCGTTTACCTTCCCGCTGGAGCGGTACCTATTTATCTACTTGCACTTTGACATGCTTTCAAACTGCTAGGTTGGCAGGAGCAGGGACCGAAGGGAGCTCACCCCGTCGCAGGGATTCGAACCGCCGACCTTCTGATCAGCAAGTCCTAGGCTCTGTGGTTTAACCCACAGCAAAAGAGAAACATATTCAGGAGGGGTGAATCCGACGGCGAGAGAAGCTGCAGAAGGAGAGCCTGTGTTTCCTGTTCCAGTTTCTCCACTCCAAATCCCTTCTCCACTCAACACTAACATATACCCCAGGTTCCAAATGCATGTTTACCCCTTAGTTTCACCACAATCCCAGTATCAAGTATTATAGATTTCCACTCAGTAACTCAAACCAGCTGAATAATTTATATAAAATTATAAATAAGTAGTACATCGTAATGCTGCAGCAATTTCCCCGCCTTCGTCAGCAATTAACTCATTCATGTTCCACAACAGTGGCTACTGCATGCATCATCAATAGCAAATCCAACAACATGACAACAGCAGGTTATAGCCCAGCCACAAAGTCAAAAGATTTCTGCAACCACACCCACACACCACTCCATCTTTCCAGCAAGAGATATTATGGCAGTTCAAAGACACATTCCAGCTGGGCAAAAGCATTAAAGGAGTGTTGGGGGTGAAGCCAGAACGAGTTGTGGTCTGGAGTGGGGTGGCTAAAGGATTGTCTGGAGGACCATACAGAGAGGTCCAGAGGGCCATATTCAGCTCCCAGGCTAAGGTTTCCAACTCACACAGTAAACAAACCTTATAAGAATGGCCATTTACATGCACTTGAGGATCAGCATTTCAGCATGGAAAGCATTGTTTTGTATTCTGGTATAGAAGCAAAGTGGTAAATGACAGAAGGTTTGCTGTTTCATCTCTCTTTTAACATGCTGTTGAACAGGTGTGCCGTGGATCGTCACCCAACTGATGTAAATATTAATTTAACAATACTTTGTTCAGACTCCAATGGGAAGAACAGGTCCTCAGCAAGAATCCTTCAGATAATAAAGGGGAAAGATTATGGTAAGTCCTATAATACGTACAGTATATTTAGATAGCCTTCCAAGAATGTGTAGGCTAGTGAGTACAGCCCTACAGGCATATCTAATATGTTATATGTGAAAGGGAGCAAAAGGAAGATTTTAAAAATATTTTTACCATTACACTCCTTTCAAATTAAAGTATTTCTAGTCTCATAGTTACAGATACATGATTTTAAAATGTTGCAGCATTATCTACAACCCAGAACAGAGTTATGAGCACTTAGGACCCATTGAAATCAGTGGAACTTGAGAGCATGACTAGCCCTCTTCTAGATTTCAGCTTTAGCTATTGCACATATTTGTGGGTACATTTTATAAATGCCATACTAAAGAGTGATGTGGTTTGAAAAGGGATTTATTAAGCCACAGTTCCAGTGGAATTCTGGGTGATTCTAATGAAGATGAAACAAAGGAATTTTGTGATGCAAAATTATGACCACCCAGGGAAGAATGCAATTAGAGTAAAGTACTGTGGTCCCTTGCTTAAAAGAATAATTTATCAGATTGCATAATATTGTCTTACTTACCCTAAAAGCTTAACATGCAAATTCATTTTCCAAAAATTAAGGAAAAAGTAAGTGCAGTAGTCTCCAGCTTGCTAGAGTCTAGCAAACAAAAATCATGTCTGTGCCAATCATTTAAAATTATATATTTTGGGAAAACAAGGAAGAATCTTGTGGCATCTTATCGAGTAATGAAAATGTAAGATTTTGTAGACTAGAATCCACTTCATCTGAGGCGTGAAGTGGAGAGAGAAAACAGTCGTGCAAGATGCAGTCAAATGGTAATGAAATGCAAAAAGTAGACTGTGAAAATTCAATTAAAGCATGCATAGGATTGTGCTGCATAAGATCTAATGCTGGACAAATGTTGCTGACTAAAGAAACTGTAATGTTATTTTAGCCTAAATTCTACCTTGCATTTTCTGGTTTGCAGCACTGGGGTTGTTGAAATACAAATATCCTGATTTTTTACTCTCCTCTTTCAATTAAAACATGTCTTTAACAAATGAAATTGCATTTAATCTAACACTATGGTAGTTCCTTTTTAGAAAGCGAGCCTTCACTTTTGGAATTCAAGCCATTCAGTAGTGGGCCATTGGTTGGTGGATTTGTATACAGAGGCTGCCAGTCTGAAAGACTTTACGGAAGTTATATATTTGCAGACCGTAACGGGTAAGTTTCTTTAAAACTCGCACAAAAGCAATACAGATGTAGCCCCCCCTCATAGTAAGCTCCTGCATCTTCTTCCTCCCACACATGGCAACTACTAAGCACCCTTTTCACCCATTTATGAAGTCACCATTTCCTCTGATGCTATAGACTGTTTCATGCCTCTGCTTTCATCTTCACCTACATTCACATTCCTCCTCCTCCCGCCTTTTCTGCAACCACCCCTTTTTCTCCCTGCCCCCTTACTTTATCTCAACTGTCCCTTGCGCATAGATCACACCCATTTTGCGCATAGATCACACCCATGCCTTCTTCTCTATCCTAGTCTGCAGTCCCCTTTGTGCACACATCCCATGCTGATATATGCTACTGTATGTTTAAGATGAACATCTTAAGAGCAAGCCTGTCAGTTAGTTTGTTCATTTAGGGAAGGTTATGTTCAGTTAATGGATGTTGCACATGTATGGGTGTTTGCTTGTTAGAAAATATCTGGTCGAAATTACTACATTGAATCTGGGACTTCGTGTTGAAGAAAACACATGGTACCAGGAGTGAAATGCATTTTGTGTAGGTACTGTGGGATATTTGAGGGCTCCACATCTTTTGGTGAGTGGTAGATCCGTTGTTGTTCCCAAGAGAGGGTGGAATCAAAAGCCCCACCAATCAGGGGCAGAGGAAGGGGGTACGGTGGGGGCAGTCCACCCCGGGTGTCACCACTGACGGGGGTGACAAAATGGCAGGCGGCACTCACCATGAGGCATGCAGCGCGCCTGAGCCGTGCGTCTCTCCTGGTCCGCCCGCCTCCTCCTCCCCAGCTATAGGGCGGCTGAGTTGAAGGAGGCAGGCAGACTCCTTGGAGACCCCGCAGAGCATCCTGCCCTGGCTGGCCCCACCCCCGCACGCGGCTGGCCCAGCCCCTGGGCGCAGATCACGTGCACCGCCCCAGGCACCCGATCAGCTGGATCCGCCACTGCCACCAATCACATGGAAGGCCTTTTAGAGCACCTCAAGTAGCTCTCAGTGACCAAAGCATAATAGGTCTGGATTCATCAAAACATTGTGTTATATTTCATGAGAATTTATCAGTGCTCAGAGGCACAAAGTATAATTTGGATTGTAGGCTTTATGGCTCAGATTTTAAAGGACTCCATTTTACATGTGTCCATTATAGTTCTAGATTTTATTGATGCAAAGCACACTGTGTAACATTTTGTCCCTTTTTTTATTTGTGTTTACAGAAATTTTTTAACACTGCAACAGAGCCCCGTGACCAAACAGTGGCAAGAGAAACCACTTTGTCTGGGTAACAGTGGTTCATGTAGAGGTTTCTTTTCAGGACATATCTTGGGATTTGGTGAAGATGAAGTAGGTAAGACAATAACAGCTTCTTTAGGATATTATTATATTTATAAGAAAAACTTGGCCAAGATGTGTCTTGTGTTATCTATATCTATCTATCTATCTATCTATCTATCTATCTATGTGTGCATTTATAAAAGTTCTATATTGCAATTCAATACATTATTATCAGGGTGGTTCACAAGAAAAAAGAAACAAGTTAATATTTTAAAATGTAATAAAATGAAAACAAACAATAAAACACTAGGATTTAAAAGTAGCAATAGGATACTCAAATATTAAAAGCTCATCAGATATTAAAAGCCTGGGGAAATTTAAAAAATCTTCCCCTGGGACCCAAAATAACTTAGTGTAGGCACCAGGAGAGCCTTCCTAGAGAGAGAATACCATAAACGGGCCAATACCAAGAAGGCCCTGTCACTTCTTGCCTCAATTAGAGATTTTTTATATATTAAGCAATTTACAAATGTGTTTAAATAAATAAAAACTTGAGGTACTGTGGATGCTCAAGAAGGGGCTCCAAAGATGGAAGCGGACTTTCCTTCTGATATCTACATCCTAATCTGTGCAGAGCCTTAAAAGTAAGCACTGGCACTTGGAATAGTACTAGAACAAAAGCCAATGGAGCTACATAAGCACAGGCAAGATATATTCTCAGTAACAGCTCCAGAATATATCTAAACAGGAGGTTTCCAGAACATGGACAAGCTATCTCCATAATGCGCAGTGTACTGGGTATATCAATTGCATCATATCTGCAGAATGATTGATTCTTCATTTTTCTAAACTAACAAAACTCTGCGAAATGTTTTTCCAAATTGCCCTGCTCGTGCTACAAGAGCAACTGAAACCACATTGATGCTTTGAGTCTCCCATTGACTACTGGTGTGAAACTCCCTCTTCCACCTGCAAATATGTGGGCAGGCAGAAGTGCTCCCAGTAGGGAACCTGGCAGCAGAAGCCAGCAGAAAGACCCCAAACACAGTTTTCTTATGGTGAGGCTGAGTCAGATCTAGGCTGGCACAGCCATTCGCCTGCCCACTACCCTCTGTCCCAGCCACAAAGCTTTGGATATAACTTTGGCCCCACCACCCATAAAGCCCCAGCAGACTGTAGGAGGTTAGATAGGATTGCTCCTTTAGTCCTTTTTCACACTGTGACAGAAAGAGAAGCAAAGAGAAATTGCCAGCAAAGTTTATATGCCTCTTTTGTGCCAGGGGCTTTAGGAGAAATATATTCACATAAATGCACAACAAGGACTGAGACTGAGGTCAGATACTGAGACTCAAGCACAGAATGTATCTTCGGATCTTTAGGCTTTGACCAGGGGGTTCCGGGTTCAGTTTCCATGCCCTGCTGTGAATCTTTGGGGCTTTATCAGCCAGGTTGTTCTTTCTCAGTTCTGTTTGCTTTATAAAAAACAAAAACAAAGAAACCGGAAATACCTAATGTAAAGCAGAATTAAATAATTATTGCAATATCCTTGCCGCACAAAAAGAAAGAGCCACAAATTGTACATTAACTTTTCAGTTTTTTAGTGGATACCGCTAATCATTTATGGTATGCTTTTTCTTAACAGGTGAGGTCTACATCTTAGCAAGCAGTAAAAGCATGACACACTCTCACAATGGGAAGCTCTACAAAATTGTTGACCCCAAAAGGTAAGAGATGCTTTAGTGAGTGAGTGAGTTGGTGCCGTTTACCTAGAGGAGAGGCAGTGGTGAGGTTGACATTGTGTAAGCACATAGGTGGAACCAATCCAGCACTCCTTCCTGTGCATTTGAAGAAGCAGAAGCAGCGTTTGGATTTGATATCCCGCTTTATCACTACCCGAAGGAGTCTCAAAGCGGCTAACATTCTCCTTTCCCTTCCTCCCCCACAACAAACACTCTGTGAGGTGAGTGGGGCCGAGAGACTTCAGAGAAGTGTGACTAGCCCAAGGTCACCCAGCAGCTGCATGTGGAGGAGCGGGGAAGCGAACCTGGTTCCCCAGATTACAAGACTACCGCTCTTAACCACTACACCACACTGGCTCCTTTGCACCACACTACCCTCCCCCTCCCCTCCTCCTCCTAGTAAGCAGCAGCGGCTCACCTGCCACAAGGAGGCCTTTTTTTCAGCCAGAACTCACCAGAGCTCAATTCCGGCACCACTCAGGTGGGCACCATTGCGATTATAAGAGAACAAGGGAGGTATTTGTGGTGAGTTCTGGTACCTCTTTTTTTTTTTTTTTTTAGAAAAACAGCACTCCCAAGAGTCACACAGCTAAGCAGAGAGAAAAGGGGCTTATCCACACTTACCTTTCCTCTGTTATTTCCAGGCACAGTCCGCACTTTAAATCTCCGTGTCCAAGCACCCGCCCACCTGTTTTTCTCTCTCTCCAGAGCCTTCCCCATGAAAACCCACTCTTTAAAGCTCAATCGGATTTGTCATTCAAATGAATAAGCTTTCAAAATCATGAGTAAAATACAAACAACAGCTTTTTTATTGGAAGTGGAGAAGGTACTGTGGAGTATTGTGGAGGCAGGGTACTCCATCAATACTTGGATGTGTAGACTATTGAGATGTGCAGGAAATGGCAAAGTGGCAGGGAAGCTGAAATAAGAGGGCTCTGCTTTGACAGAGGGGTATAAGTGATTCAGAATTTTGAACAACCTAACAGTAAATTAATAACATATAGGAAAGTTCCATTACTTTGTCATGTATCTGCCACTGAAATGTTATTAATTAAGAAGCAGATGTTACTGCAGTCAATCAAGCATACTATATTTGTTTTATTTATGAATTCTAGGTGGAAAAGTACTTTTGCAAAACAAATCTTGCTGGCTTCATTTGGATTGTTTAGTCTGTTGGTGTGTGGATTTAGGCGAATTTTACACCTTTAATCCACTATTAGTATCTAATTACAAGGGGGTTGCTTTGTTTGACCTTGGCTTTGTGCTCCTGTTGCCTCGGCGATTAGGGTGGTCTCAAAATGACATACCTGAAAGGCCAGACCTCCCAATGCAGAGTTCCTGGTTAGCTATTTAATGTGTGGCAGAGGGTAATGCATCTGGCTAGAATAAGACAAGAGGGGGAAATACACTGTTCTAATGACACTATGTACTCTGGCATACATTCGAAATGAAACTGATTTTAAAAATGGAAAGCCAGGAAATACTTTGTTAAGATAGCAGCACTAAAGGATTTCACAAGATTTCTTTTACGGGTGTTTTGGCATGTGGGCAAAATTGCATTGAAATCATTATTTCACATTCAGTACAGCTTTTGAATGAAATGGCTAGATCTAAAGCACACATAGAAAAGTGCTCTGTACAACTAAGGCCACATGGCTCTTTGCACAGCATCGCCATAGTACTGTTCTCTCATGTATGTGCAGTGCTTAGTACAGATGGAAATATACCAGTGGGCTTTCCCTGCCAGTCCCTTGTTACTTCTCTGCAGTAGGATTCCACACCAGTTTCTTAAGTGGAAGGCAGAGCAGTAGCTCTGCTCTTGTCTGATGCAAGCAGCAGGATCCCATAGGGATAGAACATGAAAAACTGCTCTTCTGTACTTGCAGCATCCCAAGTACATGTGGAAGAGGATTACTGGATTAAAACATTTCCTAATAACCTTTAAATACACCAAGCATTTCTTCCTAGAATAAATAGAACAGACCTGCTAGATGTCTAGTCAATAAGAACTGACATTTATCTTAAAAACTGGATCTTATCAGATGCACAGAAAAACTGAAGAAATTTTGCTTAACTGAGCTTCAAGTGGGTAAGATGGCATTTTCACAATAAGTAAAGCTCTCAGACCCAGGGGAATACAATCAAAATACAAGTCAAGCGAAAGTCAAGCCTTTCAGGTGATAATAGGTCATGGTATGGGGCTGTCAGTGGCCCAATGTGCTTTTGGAAGCCACTGGGTTGGAATTGTCCGCTCCATGAACTGCCTCACATTTGATAGAGTCGCCAGTGATGAAAGTCAATAAAATGATTTTCTGAAATTCATATGCATGATACACAATCCGTCACTTCAAAGAATCAACAAACCAAACCCTGAACACTGCTTCTGTCACCTTTACAACTGCATTGCACTTGTGGGGAGAAGAGAAAGGTGAGGAGCCTTGAGAGCTGTCCACCACATACCTCCTGGTGTTCCAGGAGAGGTGACTCCTCCCTCTTGCCCCCAACTGCTACTACAGGGCTACTCATGAACCATCTTGCCTTGAAAGGAGGACAAATACGGCTTTCCAGAAGTTTCCTCACCCTCCAATTTGCTGCTACTGTTTCATTCTAGAGACGCAGTCATGATTCTTGATCTATTTATTTTTTTAATGTAAACCACTTTGTAAGGTTTGCCTGAAAAGCAGCATTGAGATATCGTAAAATAAATTGCTATTGGCTTCTCCTGTACAGCAGAAGTTTTCCACACGTCATTAGTCATATCTGTGCTCAGCCTTCATAGAGATGAGGAAAGTCTTCATTGCCAAGCTGCCTGAAGTAAGGCAACAACACTTCAAGGAACAACTTTCATCATAATAAGGGGGTTTCAGGTGCTCTCCATATGCTTTGGAAGAACTCAGATGGGGCATGCAGAGCTGCAAAGAGCAGGCTGACCACCATTGCTGACACACACTGTGGCCACACACATCTGCATGTTCGATCACTATGTGAGGAAACTCTACAGTCCTTGTATAAAATGCCTTTCGACCCCAACCAAATGCACAGATTGTGGGGAAGGAGTGCAGGCCACATGTTCCTACAGTCCCCCTCAGCCATCTTTTCAACATATTGTTGGTCTTTTGAACTCCCTTAATATTAGCCCTGCTCAAGGGCACAGGCAGGTTTTTCAGTATTTAAATAGGGATGCCATGAAACAATAACCCTGTTCCATTGTTTTGTCTTCTTTTAATTGAAGCTTAATTTGCTCCTGTTTGTACATTCATTCTCACCTTCATCCACAGGGCATTTCCCACATTTTATAAAGTTTTAAAAGCAACATTTCCTTATTTACCTTCTTGCTCCATTTCTTCTCCGAATTTCTTTGCAGGGAGGGCACAACAAATGCCTTGCAGACATACCTAGCTTCTCTCCCTCCCTCCCTTTTGGAGGGATTTATTTTTTGAATGTTGTATTAGTACACATGAAGCTGTAAATAGTCATGAGCAAAAGAAACCCACAAAGAAACAAATCTGAGAGCCAGAAGCATGTATGTATATGGAAAATGAGCAAACTAACTTGGGGCAATGGAAAGAAACATGAAACTGTGCTGGTGGTGGTTCAGTTATGTCTTACCTGGCTAGCCTTAGACCAGGCATGTCCAAAGTCCGTTTCAGGGGCCTAATCTGGCCCTTGTGGCAGTTTATTTCCTGAGCTAAAATCCTGAAAGAAACCTTAACAACTTCAATCCTAAAAAAAGGTCAACAAATTTGGTTGGCCCTTATGGCCCTCCTCTTCATCAAATCTGGCCCTCTTTGAAAAAAGTTTGGACACCACTGGCTTAGACAAATAATGATATTTCAGCCAAATCTGATGAACATGTTTGAGGAATGAGATAAGAACTGCTGCAGAATACTTTATTTACCCTGTCCTGTATAAATGAGCGCCAATGACATTTAGCTCACTTTTCTTGTACTTTTGGAGTAGTTTTTCTATGCACTGTACAAACACTTCTGGCACAAATAACATCATTCAGTTCTGTTTCATTTGTGAGGAGCACTTTACCTTAGAAGATATGAATTAAGAATAAAGAGCATAAAACTGCAATCTATATAACTTTGTGGGGGGACACACCCTACTTTAAGGTAGTGGTTCCTCAGGATGATTTCAGACCCTTTTACAACCCTATGATTCCGTAAAACACGCAGAATGAAAACCTCTTCTCCACAATTATCTTCTTATGCCCGATTGCCTTTAAATAATACTGTGGAACTATGTAATATAAAGCTGTCAGCAAACAGCAGTTGACCGGGGAATCCACCCAAGTGGACCATGAGAGTCCCTTGAATTCAAAATGTACCTAATCCTTAAAGTCATTCGCAGTTGTAGAAGCCCAGAACAAGTGCTTCAAAATACATATGTATATTTAGAATAACATAATTAGCTCATTTTCCTATCTACATGCAGCTGCCTTCCTTGTAGGTGAAACATGCACATTAACGTTATTTGAATTTGTAAACCCAAAGACTTTAAACTTTGTAACATCAGTTATCAGTTATTATTTTTAAAGTCACATCTTAATCCATGCACAGAGCACTTCCATTCCCCCTCCCTTCCTTTCTAACATTGGCTATTAAGGACCTCTTTGTGTACTTCATTTTATAAGGCAAAAAAATACCTCTTCGGTTTATATTTTGCCTGTTTTCGGATGCATGCACGGAGCTGCTTTCTCTGCTGCCGTAAAGAATGTAATACATAATTGAGCAGCTTTAGCCCCGTAAGCCAGTTTCTTTCCCGATTCATCCGTCAAAGTGCTATGCAAGTGGCCCCCTAAATTGATAAATTCCCACAGTGCCTGTTGACCCAGCTGCCAAGGCCTCATGCAGCAGGTGTTGTTTTCATGACCACCCTGACAGTAATACAAACTGTTTAGCAGTTGCATTGACCTCACAGCTATTAACACTGATACAGGCTCCGCTGGGGACTAGTTTTCAAATATGACAGAATTTCTTAAAGACTAGAGGTCATGAACAAGTATACCATATAAGAATAAATTTGATATGCTGCTGGGTTTAAAAATCTGAAAGCAGGGAAGGCTCTTTTTCTTCCTCCCCACATCATTCCCTTGTAGTAAATCAAGTAATGAGCTCTTGGCATGCCTCCCAGCACTGAAAGCAAATGTACTGAAAAATCATACCTGAAGGGGTGCTGTGTTTATGCTAGAGAAGTAGTTACTTATTTGTTTTATTTAAAGAATTTTTAACCTGCCTTTTAGGGTACACTGCTCTCACAAGGCAGTTTGTAATAAAATAAAATAAAATACAGTAATAGCAAACATACCATTAAATTAAAATCCATTATATTCAAAACAAAAGCATTAGCTGCTAAACATTATTTTTATGCAGCTGATTAACCAAATACAGACTAGGAGGGGAAACATATCCAGGGTTTTCTTTAAAATCAAGAGTGATGAAGCCTCTGTTGGTGATTAGGCCTAAGGAGAAATTAATTAGAAAATGTTTGCATTGCTGTCCTCTGAAGAAAATTTTTGATTCTTTCCTTTGGTCCCACTTCCTCTTCCATCACACCTGGATAAAGACAATTTTAGGTGGGATTTCTGCCACTGACAGGGGAATGGGGTTAATTTCATAACGTCCCCTCAAATCTCTAATTGCTGGTGCTTGTGCATTTGAATGCATGTTTGTGTAAACCTGTTGTTGTTCATTTGTATACCACCCTTCATCTGAAGATCACAGAGAGGTTCACAACATAAAAATACAAAATGAAAACCCAAAATACATAATAAAAGTAAGAACAACAAGAAACAAGAAACCCTTCTCCCACAAACACATTTAAAAGGGTGTATAGACTGTTATCAACCAAAGACCTGCTTATAGAGAAATGCTTACGCCTGGTACCTAAAGATATATAATGCGGGCACCAGGTGAGCCTCCCTGGGGAGAGCATTCCACAAATGGGGAGCCACTGCAGAAAAGGCATGTTCCCATGTTGCCACCCTCCAGACTGCTTGTGGGGGTGGCACACAATGAAATCACTCAGATGATGATTGCAGGGTCTGAGTGGGTTTACATTGGGAGAGCAGTTGGGCCAGGATCAATGTAAAATGCTCAAACCATCTTACCCTAGTGAGCAACCTGGCCCCAAAATTCTGCACCAGCTGAAGTTTCCAAAGCATCTTCAAAGGCAGCCTTATGTATAATGCATTGCAGTAATCTAACCTAGAGGTTACTAGAGCATAGGCAACAGGCCTTAGACTATCCATGTCCAGATAGGGGCACAGCTGGGCCACCAGCTGAAGCTGATGGAAGACACTCCACACCATTAAGACAAACTGACCCTCAAGTGACAGCAAAGGATCCAGGAATTACCCCCAAGCTATGTACCCACTCCTTCAGAGGGGGTGTAATCCCATCAAGAGCATGCAGCCTCTCATCCATGCAGTCTAGAGAACTGCCTACTACCAGTGTGTCAGTCTTCTCTGGATTGAGCTTCAGTTTGTTGGCTCCCATCCAGTCCATTACCAAGGCAAGACAAGGGTCCAGCACGCCCGCTGCCACACCTGTAGATGTAAAGGAGAAGTAGAACTGTGTGTCATCAGCATATGTTGCAGCTTACTGCTTCTGGGCTTGGAATTGAAACCAAAAGAAAAAAAGATCCCGTGGACAGGGCTTTCAGGAAGAAATGTACATGTCAGCATGAAACTGCACGCAGGCACACACATGCGCCATTATATGTAATGTACAGTGACTGATTATGTTGAACACAGGGCTGCCAGATCACATCGATTGAGACTCCTAAGTATGAAGATCAGCTTAAGCCTCTGGAACTCCAGTGGTTTGCTCCCCCGACTTGTCCATGACTCCGGCTTCACTTATCATTCTGTTGGCTCTGCTGAGAGGCCAGCTGCCTTTGGCTTTCCTTCAAGTGTCGCCTCACAGCAGCCATTCCATCAGGCTCCAGCAGAGGGAGAGAATGGAAGCAGGGCTATTCCATTGGTGCTGAAAGACAAGCTGCCTGTGGCCCTTCTTTTCTCCTCTCATCTGTCACCCAGTAATGCACATTCCATCAGTCTACCTGAACTGTTTCTATCCCAACTTGTCATTGTAAGAACTGTAGCTTTAAGAGCTGGTGTCTAAGTTTTTTTAGCCCCTTCCTCCTCCTGCCCTTTTTCCTTTTATGTTGTTTCTTCAAGATAGTAAGCCTGAGGGCTGTGGGCTGCTCTGTGCTGCTCAGGAACTCTTTTTAGCCAAAATGTGGGGCAAAATGCTTTCAATTAAAAAAATGATACAAGTGTAACATGACCCAAAGTATCCAATAATGCATTTCTGGAGCTCATGGTAATAGAAGCATACAGTAATAGAAGCATAGAATTACAGAGCTGGAAGGGATCTCAACTCATCTAGCTCAGCGGCATTGCAGGAAGTCCACCACCAGAGCATTCCTGAGAGTTGGCCATCCAGTCTATGCTTACAAACCTCTAGCAAGGGAGATTCCATACCTTCCATGGCAGTTTCAGCATCTGAAGGTTTATTATTGTGTGACACTATCATAAGACAAGGTCCTCTGTTTATTTCATTACACAGTGAATTCATGAAAACTTGATTGCTTCTCTAGGTCCTTTGTGGTATATTACAGAGCTGCAATCCTAATGTGTGAGTGTGTGGTACTGGGATATATGATTGCCAACAGACATTCTGAATGATTGAATCTATAATAATCTGTGTCAGTTTTGGCTTCTGGGCTATATGAATAGATGGTAGCTTACGTGGGAATTTTTGTGAGATTTTTTTTTTTGTGCTCCTAACTTTCTCCAGCAGAGATTCTCCCACTCTGTTTAAACTGGAGTCCACTGTTGTTATCTTTCCACCATCTGAACCAAGCAGCGATAGATCAGAAAAGTTCAAACGTACATGTTAAAAATAAGATTAATTAAGCTACAGCAAACACAGGGAAAAGAAAAAGCAACATGTACAAAACTATTGGTTCTTATGTGAAATTGTCTATTAGTCTGCAAACACAGGTGACCTCCAGTTACCTCAAGTTCAGTTCTTACCCCAGGTCCAGTTGTCCCTCCTGGTTCTCCTGTTCTGTGCTTGCTTCATTACTCTAGTTCCTCAATCCCAGGTCTCTCTCCCTTCCACCTACACATACTTCGTTCTTTCTCCCTCTAACTACTCTAACTATAGTGGGTCATGGGTTCGAGCCCCGTGTTGGGCAAAAAGTTCCTGCATTACAGGGGTTTGAACTAGATTATTCTCATGGCACCTTCCAACTCTATGAGTTAATGATTATTCTTATGATGTGTGTAGTTCTATACACTGGTAGGTAGGTAGATAGGTAGGTAGGTAGGTAGGTAGGTTGAATATGTGCATGCCATTTTAGTCCTACATATATATCTCCGGTAAAAATATTAGTAAGAACTTCAAAAATCAGTAGCACCATTATCATTAACTGCTGATACTGGTGTGCTTGAAATGAGATTTTAAAAAAGGATGGCAACTTCATTCTTATTAGCACCTAAACTAATTTTTAAAAGTTCTGTTTTTACCAAGATAGCAGAATGTCCAAGAGGACTTAGGAGGAGCTATTGAACTGTAAAGCAGTGTGACCAGGCTTCTATGAAAATATTGTTGCTGGCTATAATGTTTGCTGAATAAGATATTGTTCTAAAACAGAGGATTTCATCATCATAAAAACTCTTAAAATGTATGCAAGATATACTTTTCCACAACTTCATAAACTGTTGCATGGACCATTTTAAACAGCTTTCTTTGGGAGGAAAAAAAATGAATCCAGTCTATGTGTAAACAATTTCTCTTTGACCCTGACTTTTAAATACGTATGTTGCCTGTATATTTTTCTACAGGCCTTTAGTCCCAGAAGAATGCAAAAGAACAGCTCTTCCTGCCCAGATATTGACATCTGAATGCTCAAGGCATTGTCGAAATGGGCACTGCACTCCCACGGGAAAATGCTGCTGTAATCAAGGCTGGGAAGGCGAGTTCTGCAGAATTGGTTAGTATTCCGTTCACAATAATTCATGGAAATAGCAAGCTTCCATCAACTTCTGACAAAAGTTGGGTTTTTTTTAATCCATATATTTTAAATTCCTCATTTACTCAAGCTTCTATCAGCAAGCAATGAATGGGTGGGAGGGGAAGGGAAATCACAAAGAGCAAGAGACTCGGAAATTTGCTTTCATCAAATGACATGTGTGCATTTGATAAACTGTGCCAAAGCTATCCTGGATGTTGCTCATATGTAGTCTGTTTGGGACCACTGGAATGAAACGACACACATCTGGGGACTAACACTGTTACCAAACATAAACATTCATTTGCCATCCTTCAAATGCTTCTCCACACTTTCAGTCAATTTCTCTGTGCACACAAGAGGAGCTAACCTGTGGAAATAGACCTTAGGATGAGAAGATGGAAGTGGGATACAGGTTAAATAGAGAGAATGAGTGAGGCAAGGAAACCTCTGAAGCATGCAGCCATAGAGTCCTTGAGGGACATCTGTTTCGCTATACTGTTCAAAGACCAGAAGGAACTTCCTACAGTCATTCTGTTCATTGGAGACATTCTGACCACCGCCACCTGGCCAGCTAAGGGCAATGCACTCCAGAAAGGGATCCTAGTGAGTTAGAACAGTGTCTATGGATGTAATATGTACCCTGTACAAGACTCTCTGTTGACCCTCCCAATGTTCACTCTGAATGAGTTGGAGCAAAATAAAACATATCATTTTTAGATTAATTTGTACATTTCACAGCCATATTTTTTTTTAAAAAAAACTTAATTTTAAAATGGAGCTCTTGATGGTTAGAATTCCTTGCAGCTCCAGGAATTTCTTCACCAAAGAAAAAGACAATGGCAGACCATATGCAGAATAACAGTTGATAAGAATGTGGTAGACTCCCTAAATCAGAGAGATACTTTCATGAGCAAGGTATTCTTTTACATATTTCTGTTATATTTTTATCCAAGTTTCTTTTCCCCATCCCATAATGTATCATGGCCTATTTTATATTCTGAGAAACAGACAAAAGCAAATGGTTCATTTTTTTGGAAATAACTAAATAAATCCATACTGCTGCCATTATGATAGAGAAATAGTTCCCATTTTGTACATATGGATTTTTTTCCTGATTCTTGGGAAAGCCTCTACATAAGAGTTTTTTGTGTGTGTTTTTTACAGCAAAATGTGAACCAGCCTGTCGACACGGGGGTGTCTGCATACGACCAAATAAATGCATGTGTAAAAAAGGATATCTTGGTCTTCAGTGTGAGCAAATGGATAGAAACATCCGAAGAGTGACAAGGGCAGGTATTCTTGATCAGATCATAGACATGACATCCTATTTGCTGGATCTAACCAGCTACATTGTATAGTGTCTGGGACTTATTTGGATACCACATTTTCAATGGGCATTTGTTTTTCAAATCTTCTCTTCTCTTCTCTCTCTCTCTCTCTCCCCCCCCCACCACCAAAAGACTCTTGTCCTGCTTTGAAACTCCAGTGATTCCACTGGGTTTGTAGATCTGCCTTTTTACCTTTTCAGAGAAGCAAAAACGTACAATTCACGCACAAACATCTGGTTGCATAACTAGTGGAATTCCAAAATTTTATTTCCTCATGTGAAGTAGTTTACACAGAAATGCCACTGTTACCACAAATAATTTCCAATGGTGTCACTATGAATTATTTGATATCCCACCATTTTTTGTGTATAACTATCTGAGTATAGCAATCAGAAAAGGAGTTTTGAAACTGTTGGCCATTATTAAATTTTGATTTTAACCATGGTTAATATATTTGGCAGGTGGATTCAAATGACCAGTTGCCATCCAATTCATGTAACAATAAACACATTGGTAATTTTTTCCCCTTCCATTAAAAGCTGTTCTCCAGGATGGGAAAAGGGTATTGTAGTAAGAGCTATTATCCACTGGAATCTTCAAATGAACAAATTATGACGTTAAAATTGCAGTTACCATATCAAAAAACATGACCATGTGAATCTACCCCACCATTCTAAGACAATGTTTCGGAACTCCTGAATGCATTCTTATATAGGCAATTCATTGTAAGATTGTAATCTACACTTCTATCAATGTAACAGAATGTTATGCACTTAACTACTTTATCTGGCATAGATGCAAAAATCTGGCTATCGCAGCTTAATTTCCACACTGTTTCAAGTTCTTCATAATTAAATTATATCTGCATATTTTAAAACCAGTCATTGTAGAAGGTCTGTTTTTTTGTTTTGTTTTGTTTGTTTTGTTTTGGTTTTTTTTACTGAATATCTTATTTAACAATGGGCAGTGGGTTTGTGTTACATATTTATATTATTTTATTTTAATTTTTTATAATATAGACATCATCTAGATGAACAGCTTTGCCATGTCCTGTCAAATACTAAAGTTACATTTTTCTCCAAATTAATTGGAATGATGGGGAGCGAAAGGGCAAACACACTCTTTAATGTGTTGTGGACATAATGTAGAAATGTATCCTTGTGTCAGCCTTTGTTCGTAATCGACGGAGAAACAGCTGCAGCCAATCAACCAGTCGCTGCAAATGTTGATAGAGTTCTTTCCACTATATCAGGACTGGCCCATTTTTATATGGTATATGAATTTATTGCAGAATTCACATTGAATGGAACTTCACTGGATGGGAGCTCACTTTAGCTAAAGTCTTGCCTGTGTTAAGAGGACACTTGTACAAATCATTAAAATTATGATTATTGCCAAATATGGTTCAAAATGTAAATGTTTCTTGGAGAGTTAACATAATGCTGTTTCCTTTTTGTAAATGTATCAATAAATTTGATGTACATGCTGTATTCAGAATTGTTAAAGTATTGATTAATATTGGAACTATAGGATCACCCTCAGAATTTAAAATGCTTATTCCTGCAATACTTGTGCTGTAGTCTGTGTGTTCATACTTGCGGTGTATATCAATTTCTCTTTGTGCTATTGTTTTTGCAGAGAAGTCTTCCCACACAGAGAGAAGGGAAGAGCAAGGGTGCCCTTCGTCCCACAGTTCATCAAACACCTGTTCCTCCTACACCAACAGTGTGCAATGTTTTAAGCAATGTAGCCTGACACTTTGACCAAACATCCCCAGCCTCCTTGACAATGGTATCTGTAGGAGAGGGAACGCATTTATAAGAGTGAGTTCTTCAGTCACTAAATGAAATCAAGCCATTTCTTCATAAATTTTAGTACTGCTGCAATTTGTAAGCAAAACGCAATAGGTAAGCTGTTGGTGTCCAAACATCTGTTTTAGAGACAGCAGAAGGAAGCAGCGCTTGCACTTGCCATCCACCTATGATTCCTCTTGGGTTTCAAGTGACCTCCTGACAAATGGAAATTGGTTGAGAAATCTTGGTCGAGTGCTTAGTGAACAATGGGGCAGCATTAAAAAGTGCATGCATAATTTTGCACAATGTAGACCCAACTGACACTCTATTCAGAGAAGGTTCAGGATTAAATGAGCATGGAGACCAAATTACCCTCTTACCCCAGAAAAGGGTGGTCTCTTCCAGTCCTGCTAGCACGTCATTGGCTAAGCAGTGTGACAAATCTCGCAATGAACCCTGCAATAGCCTGCATCTGTAGGTTAATAGCAGCCCTTTGTCTCCATTGCTTTCTCCCTATAGTCTTTTTACTGAATCACATCACAAAAAGTTTTACAATTAAAAAAAAATGTCCTGGCAACCATTTTTGTACATTGACCTTACCTCCTAATCTTCTCTTATTCAACGTGGGGGTGGCATTAACAAAATGTGAACTTCTAGAGAATGAGGCAGCTGTCTAAATCTATCAAATCGTGCTGTTTTATTACACATTACACTGTTCACATAGCTTTGCCAGAGTAAGAGTGAAGTTACTGCACGTTTACAAGCAACTCACATTTAGATGATTCAAATAGCTGGTATTTCCATGCAGACCTAGGTGAGGGAGAAAGAGAGGGGTTTTTTCATAGCTAGCAAAACTTCATCTATGACAAGCAAATATGTTCGGTTCCTATGTTTTTCAAGCAATTTAAACAATAGCAGGTAAACTGTGGTAACAAGAGCTCAAGGCTGCATTCTTATAGAAGGTTAAAATCTTGAAGTGAGTAAATATGTCAACCACACACGTTGGTTCATAAAAAAACACAGGGATATATAATAACTGAAATCATGGCATTATTTTGTTAGTGATTATACAAAAAAAAAACACCTCTTGCCAATTTGCAATAACTAATTGCAGTGCAAGTGGCAATGACACAAAGTCTGTTTTATAATATTGAACTGGAGTAGCAGCTGAAACAGCCCAAACTACACAATTAAAATATTGAATTAGAATAATATGGAAAGGAATGTGTTTCTGTGAACGTCTCCTACAAGTGTATAATATAGCATGAGAACTCCCTGATGGAAATAAATTGTTTTCAGTAAATTTACTGAAAAACTAAGCTGCATATTTATGAAAAGCACCACAATTATTGAAGAAGTCAGTGGATGACTTTAAGCCTTATTTCTAAAAACTGCCCTTTAAGCCTTAAAAAGAGGCTTAACAGAATATAGTAATTACCTTGAGTAATGGCATGCAAAAATATGTAAATTATTTCTGTGACAATTTCATTGCTAATTAAGCTCACACCATGGCAACTCACAATGCGACCCTAAAATTGAAGTTTACAATGAAACTTTTGCCCCCAGTAAAAATTAAGGTCGGTGGGGCAATCAGTTAATAGGCTCAAAGAAGAGCATATGACTTTTGTACTTGGGCTCAAGCTTTTCTTTCATCAGCCTCTCCTGGTCTGCAATTCTAATGAGGTTTTTTTGAAATATTGTCTTTGTTTCCACAGCAATGATATTTTGGGGTAGAAAGTGCTCTCATGCGTAAAAAACTCTGCATATGCCAGTGCATATGCTTATATCTACTTACGAAGTTGAATGGATTTCAATAATTTTATCTCTCACCTTTAAAGAACAATGCAAACAAGAAAGCTCTTATGAAAAATATTTAACTAATCATGTATAAATAACTATAGCAACCGTTAATCAGTGACAAGCTAATATTTGTGTGTAGACCCACTGGTCTGCCATTACATGACTCTTGAGAGCCTGGATATTTGACAGAAATGTCACAGTTCTTGTGATATTAAGGTGCCATCATTAAGCTATTCTCTAATTAGTTATAGCAGGCCTGTATATTTTCTTCCGTCAGCTGACTATTATGTTGCATGTCCAGGGCATACGATTAGGCCAAAAGCCACAGACTGGCACTCAACAAAGTCCACGTTAAAGGAACTGCATGAAATTTGGGGCATGTCTATGTATGTTGTCTGGGATTTATATCCCCCCATGTTCCATATTCCTAGATAATTGGGGACAGGGTTGCAGCCTTAAGGGCTAAAGTTGTACCATTGAAGGTGCAGTGATCAGTTGGTACAGTCAAAGGTAAGAGAAATCTATGGATGTAGAGAGGCCCAGGCTATCAATGGAATTATCATAGAATTAAGTACTGGTAAGTAAAACATGGGCAACTCTATTTCCATTTATTTCCTTTATCTATGACTGCACAAAATAACTGTGTCCAGAACTGCAGAGGGCTGCTGAACTCTTACGTTCCAAACATGCTAGATTTTCAGGGCTCAGCTTCCTACACTGATGCTGGATGGGATGATGTCAGTACACTTCATAATAGCAGGGTGCTTGGTCATGCTTGAAGTCTGAATATGCTGGTCCTGTGCTAGGTGGATAAATTATCTGGGTCTCACTCTACGCCTCTCTGGTGCTTATGCCCTTCAGTACCTGACTGCATAGTGAGGAAATCATGTAGACAAGTGCAAAACAAAACCCATTCCTGCCCCACTCTCAACTGGCACCTATAATGGCATACAGAGAGCAGTGGTTCTGCCCTTTGTGATAAGCTAGACAATGCAGTATTTTGGGTTTCCTCATCATTCCTTATCACAAGACAGTGTCATCTGTGTGGAATGTTAAGGAAACAGCAAGGCTGAGGTTCCCTTATGTTCGGAGGCAGTAATGCTTCGGAATACCAGTTGCTGGGAACCACAGGAGAGGAGAGTGTTATTGTGCTCAAATCCTGCTTAGTAATTTCCCACAAGCAACTGGTTGGCCACTGCGGAAACAGGATGCTGAACTAGATGGGCCATTGGTCTGATCCAGCAGACTCCTCTTATGTTCTTCATCACACTAAAACAGGGCTCTGCTTTTCTTGGTTTCAGCTCTTTAGCATTCCTAGCCTAATGATTAATCTGTCAAGCAGAACAAAGAGTAACTCTTACTGTTTTGAAAACAAAGCACCAGTACAACAGGATACATGCAGAGATATGTGGCTAGTCCAGTTAGGAGGAGGTGTGAACAAATGAAGAAGGCAATCCTATATCTGTTCCCATGCCTCTGGAGTAACGAGCAGTGATGTTCATAGGTCCATTCCTGTACCAAGCCTGCAGATCTTGCTCAGCACAACTTCCCTGTAACATGATAATTTGCAGGATTGCATTTACAAGGAGCAAGGGATGGCTTTTTATGGCATTTTTACGATTTAAAAGTTTTCAATTATTTTAAAATAAGTGCAGCTCTAACACTGATTTCACACATGATTATAGATATCCTCATTCTATATGTAGCATATCTTTATCACACTAGTGTATATAGACATCATAATGTTATCAGCTAAAACATGGGAGACATGTGTTTGAACAAGGAAGAAAGGAGCCATAGCTGAAGTCTTGGTTTCCAATGCTACACAACAAAGCCTACATATTGTTAATGAAGTTTAGTATATTACATATTTGTATTTCTCCTTCAACTTTTCAAACATTGTCTGCTTGCTTATATAACAATAAAACATCTACTTTTTAATCACTCCAAGTATGTCTGCTATATCCCTCCCCACTCCACAAAATACATTTAGAATTTTTTTGGTTGGGGGGATGACTCTTGAAGGAGAAGGATGAAATTAAGTAAATTTGCCTAGGGTTGCAACTGAAGCCCAGTTATTAGTCCCATGTTTCAAACTAAGCAGATCTGGGCCTGGTCAGTGCTCAAATGGAAGACTACCTGGGAACATGTATGCCACCTTGGGTTCCATGTTGGAAGAAAAGTGGGATATAAATGCAAGAAAATAAAAAGCAGTGAAATGGGATTTAGCAACAGCAGCCTAGGCATGTCTACTCAGAGGTAATTCCCATTGAATTCAGTGGTATTGACGCTTAGGTAAGTGTGCACAGGATCGCAGCCTTAATGTAATTAACCCACATGCTGCTGACTCAATGAAAGCACATTGCAACCAACTTTCGCTATAGTCAGCTGTAGCTCAGTGGTGGACCACATGATCTGCAGACAGAAGGTCCCAGCTTTAATCCCTGGCTCCTCCAGCTAAAAGGATCAGGTAGCAGGCAACATGAAAGATTCCACGTGTGACCCTGAATTGCTGCTACCCATGACAAATAAGGCCAAGCTAAGCTAAGCAGGCAAGAGCCTGAGCTGGTACAAATCAGGTACCCCTTTCCCTTCTGTTGCAGTGTTTTATTTTTCCTGGCCTGGCTGTGCCCATAGCAGCTGCATGACAGCTGCAGCTTTTCCACCATGGTGATGGAGAGAGGTGCACCTCTGCTTCCATCCAGTTGCGCCTGGTTATTATAATATCAGAGGGAGGACCAAAAAAAAATATGTGTTACATTTGATAGGCTCTGTTGCACAGAAAAGAACTCCGTAAGGCTCAGGCCCTAATTACTCAGCATATGGTCCTGCCATCATGAGCTGGCTTTGCTTGCTTTGGTGATTTATTAAGAAGTTACAAAAACCTGCTGACATATTTATACGTCTTGTAATTAATATGCACCTGACCTTTCATTTTTGTTTTGAAGAACTTTGCACATGGGTTTTACCTCAAGTCCTGGGAATGCTCAGCTGGCCTCCATCCTGCAAGCCACTGCCTTTAAGTAATCTCATTGAAATGAGAGACGTGCCAGGATGTGATTTCAGGATGGTGTCCATTTGGAATAATGAGTCTTTCATTCCATCAACACCTCCAAACAACATCTGGGTTATATTTTTCTTTTTCAGTAGAATTGTATTTAGGATTTTTTGTAAAAAAAAACCAATCTGTCTCATGGGAGCGTTTCAGGTGTTATGCTGTCTGGACGCTCATCGCCAATTGCCAGGAAGGGTGGAGTCACCTGATCAGCTTGGAATCAAAGGATTTGCATTTGGGACCCCACCTCCTCACAATATTACAAATGAATGGGTGGAGAGTACACCTGCTAGGAAACGTAATATTATTGCTGCAGCTGCAGTTTGTAATGGTCACAGAAGGCTTTGATGGCTCCATTACTCAGGAGGAGATCAAGAGCAAAGGAAATGGATTTAAAAAAATAAAGAAGTATAACATGTTACATTTATATTCAATAAAGTCTGAAATTTACAAAAGTGAGAGAAAATGTAGTTCAGCACATTGGGACTCATGCATCCCTTGAATGCTGGTGGATTACTGTGAGGTCAGACCCACCCTGAGAGTTATTTATGAACTGTGTCATCTTGCAATTCAAAAACACCAATTGCTTATCCTGGCTGTGATCAAAAATGCACTTGTGCCAATGAAGTTTCATTGACGTTTACAGGGATCCAGCAGCTCAAATACATTTAGGACTGCAAAAAAGGAAGGCCAGGAGGACTGTAACCATATCTGGGCATATGCCACCAGCTCAAGCTAACACTAACATTAGCTCCATCAATTGCACTGTTATGACAGCTACTGACTTAGGGGATCTAATTGGAGGTGGGTATCTAACTTAAAGATTCAGGAATCAACATGCTGCTCTCATTTCTTCTGTTTCTTTGGCTTTAAATGTCTCCACTTTACTGTTCAAACTGACATTTATATATTTGCTAATTAAAGTCTGTAAAACATTGCTTACTTTGTTGAACCATGTATATTGTATGAATGATATTTGTGAGGTTACGTGGCAAAAGCTTTCGGCTGTCAGGGCTTCCCCCCCCCCCCAAAAAAGTGCCTACAGGTTTTAACTACTCCAGGGCACCTAACATGCAGGACCTGTGTCAACCTCCATAGTGTCCCCTCTGGTAGGACGGAGCTGAAGAATCACCCTTCTGATACCAGCATTGCTGTATCTGGATGGCACAGGGATGGGACAGAATGGTGTTCAGGTTAGAGCTGCATGAATGAGCCAGAAGGAGGCTTAACTGGTTTGGCTCCACTAGTTCACCTGCACAGCCCCAACCTTGCCAACCCACCCTGCCCCATTACCATCCAGGTATGTTGTAGGGATGCCAGTAGAGATGGGTGGCTCTGCAGCTCTGCCCCACTCCAGGGGAAATTTTAAATAGTGGGTAGACTTAGCCTCCTGGTGTTACTCGACTGCTGGCCACAAACACTACCAGAAGGAGGGCATACACCAGGGGGTGCTCTACCTGGGCTTTCCCAAAATTGGAACCATCCCAGAAAACAAGCTGCGGACATTGCACAGCCTTCCCACTCTGTTTCACCACCAGTTCTCCTTTAACTGCCGCCTAAAGCAGGCAAGGTAGAAGAGCAAGTACCCAAAAGTTAGAAGGAACCTGCTTGGAGGCACAGCCTACCAGTGAAAAGTGGAGCACCATCTCTGGGAAACGATTGGCAGCATCACTGCCATGTTAGCAGTGAGGAGAAAAGGAGCAGGAGCAGGAGCAGCAGTGCAGCAGATGCATATTCTCTGCAACAGCTAAGGAAGTGGACTGTGGTCCATGAAGATCAAGACTCTTCGATGTTAATCCTGCTGTAGATACAGCTACCACTCTACAAAAATGTAATGTGATGAATGTAAGTTCTCCCTTGTGTGGCTCTCACCTGCCTCCTTCCATATTTCCTTTGCTTTATGAAAAGGTTGCCTTATACTGAGCTGGACTATTGGTCTATCTAGCTCAGTATCAACACGGACTGGCAGCAGGGTTTCAGATTGGGTGTATTCCCAGCCCTACATAGAGATATTGGGGATTGCACCCAGGACCTTCTTTATGCAAGGCCAATATTCTACCATTTCCCAAAGTGATCCAAGGTGAAGATTCCTTCCGTCTGCTGTAGCATCAGAGTACCTAGGGTCACATAGTGCCAATCCCAGGCATTGACTAAGGCATTGTTTGAATGATGTGAAGCTTGTCACATTGTGATAACTTAAGGACTCACAATGTAAGCATTGTCCCATGGGTTTATCTTAACCAGTATGTCGGATGGTGAATTTTACAAGAGCACTAGCCATGGGTTCTTCTTCTTTATTAGTAGGTTAATCACATCGCCATACATGGATATTCCACACATTCATTTCAAATGTTGCACCTTGTTTTTTTACAAGGAAGATATATCTGAAAGCTAGCATCAATAATAATGTTGTATGGGTGAGATCAACTATTTGCTTTGGGAGCTCCAACAACATGCACGGAACATAGTCCAATGCAGAGGAGTCACATTGACCTTACACCATCACTTTTCATAGAAATCAACAGAAAAGGCTTCTTCAGCAGTCCTGTTCTATGCTATGAGTTTAATGGAGGCTTCCATAGCTGCAAAAAGATTAGCTTTACCTGTTAGTGTTTTACACATACCATTAACAGGGAATTTTCTTCTGTCCTCTCTGTTTTGCCTGAGAACTTGCTTCTAGGTACCATTTTTGGGATGTGTCTTCAGCATAATGAATAAATGTTGCTTTGAGAAGGATCAGATGCTTTTGGAGCATGGAAATGGAACATATTTTCTCATTAGGTTAATTAACAGCTCTGCTTGGGTGGTATAATTGGGTATAAATTTTCCTCATACCTAAAAAGGATTTTATTTTTATTATGTTTTCTGGTGTCTTTAAATTTTTATGGCTTCAACTCTGTTTAGTCTGCATGTAATCCTTGAGAGAGAAAACCCAACATTTAAAAAAATTAATAAAAATAACAGTTCCTTTTCTCCAAACTGGCACTTATTCTATTTTATGATCCTTTCTGTATTTTCCCTCCTTTCTCCTTAGAATTTGCATGCAAATCCTGAAGGAGTAGTCCACAAGTCAGGGAATTTATGATTACATCGTCAAAGTAAACTTAAGCAGGGTGATATATTAAACCTGACAAGATGCTGCTCATTAATCTTTGAAATATAGCCAGGTGTGAGGTAGTTAGGAGAGACTTCCAAGCAGGGAAAGCGTAACGCAGCACCCAGTGGTGGGGCTACGTGGAGGGCTCCCTTACCTCATGCAATGCTGCCTGGGTGGGGACTGGGAACTGGACATCACTCCAGAAAAATTCAGTTGGATGGAAGGAGAAGGGAAATGTCATGCCTCCTTTTGCCAAGGGTCTTGCAACCCTTTCAATGTTTTCTTCCAATTAGGCTAGTATGGTCCAGTTGGCAGGATCTTGGCTTTAGGCCTGCTTTGTTTTGCCTTGACAAATTCCTCCATCTCCTCAGCCTTAAAAATGGAAATAACAGTGATTGGTGTAGAAGTTTTAGGCCTGATCTATATAAACTGATGATCATACTGTAGGAGTGCTAGAGTGGATTCCAGTCCATAAAAACTTGTGCCAAAATAAAACTGGGCACTGCCTTGAGTTCTTGGAAGACACGTGGAATTTAAAAGTCAATGCAAATAATAAATTTTAGTCTTTAAGATGGTATAAGGCTCATGGCTGTTAATGTAGGATTATGCCACATCAGACTATGGGTGAAGCATGACGGGGGGCATTTGTATGAAATGGAACCAGTGCAAAAAAAAACCCAAAACAAAACAATGGAATTTTGTCAAGTACAAATGTTACCATTGGTAAAATAAACATGTTAATCCATCCTTAGAACTAATGTAAGCATACAAGGCAGGTATAATATATAACCCT